CTGAGGTGATTTTGGGGCAATTCTGGGGTGATTTTGTGGCAATTTTTTTGATGATTTTTGGGGCTATTTTGAGGTGATTTTGGGGGCAATTTTAGGGATTTTTGGGGAGATTCTGAGGTGATTTTGAGGCGATTTTTGGGGCGATTCTGAGGTGATTTTGGGGCAATTTTTTTGGTGATTTTTGGGGCAATTCTGAGGGGAGTTTTGGGGCAATTTTAGGGATTTTTGGGCAATTTTGAGGTGATTTTGGGGGATTTTGGGGGCGGATTTTGGGGATTCTTATGGCGATTTTGGGGCGATTCTGAGGTGATTTTGGGGCAATTTTTTGGTGATTTTTGGGGCAATTTTGGGCTGATTTTGGGGATTTTTTCAGCGATTTTTGGGATGAATTTTTGGGGTGATTTTGGGAAATTTCACAGCAATTTTGGTGGAGATTTTGGTGCAATTTGGGGCATTTTTACAGCAATTTCTGCCTTCATCTTGGGCTGATTTTTGGGCTGATTTTGGGGATTTTTTGGGCAATTTCTGAGGTGATTTTTGGGGCAATTTTGAGGTGATTTTGGGGGCAATTTTAGGGATTTTTGGGGAGATTCTGAGGTGATTTTGAGGCGATTTTTCAGGCAATTTTTTGGGGGATTTTGGGGATTCTTATGGTGATTTTTGGGGCAATTCTGAGGGGATTTTTGGGGCAATTTTAGGGATTTTTTGGGGGATTTTGAGGTGATTTTGGGGCGATTTTTCAGGCAATTTTTGGGGGGATTTTGGGGATTCTTATGGCGATTTTTGGGGCGATTCTGAGGTGATTTTGGGGCAATTTTTTTGATGATTTTTGGGGCAATTCTGAGGGGATTTTGGGGCGATTTTTCAGGCGATTTTTTGGGGGGATTTTGGGGATTCTTATGGTGATTTTTGGGGCCATTTTGGGGCAATTCTGAGGGGATTTTTGGGGGATTTTGAGGTGATTTTTGGGGTGATTCTGAGGTGATTTTGGGGCGATTTTTTTGGTGATTTTTGGGGCAATTCTGAGGGGATTTTTGGGGCAATTCTGAGGGGATTTTTGGGGCGATTCTGAGGTGATTTTTTGGGCGATTTTTTTGGTGATTTTTGGCACAATTCTGGGCCGATTTGGGGGATTTATCCGGTGATTTTTGCCTCATTTTTCAGGTGATTTCAGGAATTTTCCCATCAATTTCAGGGCCATTTTCCTGGAGATTTTGGGCCGATTTTGGGTTTTTCCCCAGCGATTTTTGAGGCGATTTTTTGCCCGTTCCAACAGCGATTTCCGGGTGATTTCGGGGTCGATTGGAGACCTCCCAAAAGTGCCCAAATTCCTGAATTTCTCCCCAAATTCCCTCTCCAGGGCCCCCGAGCCGCGGGCAGAAGCGCGAGGCGAGGCTGGACAAGGTCCTGCAGGACATGAAACGGCACAAAAAAACTCGAGGAGCAAATCCTGAGAACCGGCCGGGACCTGTTCCCCCCCGAGGGCCCCGAGAGCCCCAAACGGCCCCCGGGGCTCTTCCTCAGACACAGGAAATTCTGAACATTAAAAAAAATCCAAATTCAGCAGCTTCTGGTGTGATTTTGGGGCGATTTTGGGTGATTTTTGGGTGATTTTTGGGGTTTTTATTTTGATTTTTTGGGTGATTTTTGGGTGATTTTACGTTGATTTTTGGGGTTTTTACATTGATTTTTAGGGTGATTTTTGCGTGATTTTCGAGATTTTTATGGTGATTTTTTGGGTGATTTTTGAGTGATTTTTGGGAATTTTTTGGTGATTTTTTGGGTGATTTTTGGGTGATTTTTGGATTTTTACATTGATTTTTGGGGGATTTTGAGGATTTTTAGTGAATTTTTTGGGTGATTTTTTGGGGATTTTTATGCCAATTTTTGAGTGATTTTTGGCATTTTTATGGTGATTTTTGGGTGATTTTTGGGATTTTTATGTTGATTTTTGGGTGATTTTTGGCATTTTTTGGGTGATTTTGGGGATTTTTACGTGATTTTTGCGCCATTTTTGCATTGATTTTTGGGTGATTTTAGGGATTTATGGTGATTTTTGGGGTGATTTTTTGGGTGATTTTATGTTGATTTTTGGGTGATTTTTGAGTGATTTTTTGGATTTTTATGTTGATTTTTTGGGTGATTTTTGGCATTTTGACGATTATTTTTGCGCCATTTTTCCATTGATTTTTGGGTTATTTTATGGTGATTTTCGGGGTGATTTTAGGTGTGATTTGCGGAATTTTTCCACAATTTTTTGGGTAGATTTTCGTTACTTTTGGGTGATTTTTGGGGCTGATTTTGGGGCATTTTCCCAGGACATGAAACGGCACAAAAAACTCGAGGAGCAAATCCTGAGAACCGGCCGGGACCTGTTCCCCCCCGAGGGCCCCGAGAGCCCCAAACGGCCCCCGGGGCTCTTCCTCAGACACAGGAAATTCTGAGCATTAAAAAATGCAGAAAATTGGCAGCATCTGGTGTGATTTTGGGGGCATTTTGGGGGATTTTGGGCGATTTTTGGGGTTTTTATTTTGATTTTTTGGGTGATTTTTGGGTGATTTTATGTTGATTTTTTGGGTTTTTATTTTGATTTTTTGGGTGATTTTTGGGCGATTTTATGTTGATTTTTGGGGTTTTTATTTTAATTTTTTGGGTGATTTTTATGGTGATTTTTGGGTGATTTTAGAGATTTTTATGGTGATTTTTGGGGGGATTATTTGGAGATTTTGGGGGATTTTTGGTGATTTTTGGGATTTTTTTTTGGTGATTTTTGGGATTTTTACGGTGATTTTTGGGGGGGATTTTGAAGATTTTTAGTGAATTTTTTGGACAATTTTTGAGTTATTTTGGGGGATGTTTTGGGGAATTTTTTGCCAATTTTTGGGTGATTTTTGGGATTTTTACGTTGATTTTTGAGCCATTTTTCCATTGATTTTTGGGTGATTTTTGGGATTTTATGTTGATTTTCGGGTGATTTTTCGGTGATTTTATGTTGATTTTTTGGGTGATTTTTGTGATTTTTACGTTGATTTTTGCGCCATTTTTCCATTGATTTTTGGGCGATTTTACCAATTTTTGGGGTGATTTTGGGGTATTTTAACCACAATTTTTCAGGTAGATTTTGGTTACTTTTGGGTGATTTTTGGGGCTGATTTTGGGCATTTTCCCAGGACATGAAACGGCACAAGAAACTCGAGGAGCAAATCCTGAGAACCGGCCGGGACCTGTTCCCCCCCGAGGGCCCCGAGAGCCCCAAACGGCCCCCGGGGCTCTTCCTCAGACACAGGAAATTCTGAACATTAAAAAATGCAGAAAATTGACAGCTTCTGGTGTGATTTTGGGGCATTTTAGGCGATTTTTGGGTGATTTTTGGGCAATTTTTGGGGTTTTTATTTTGATTTTTTGGGTGATTTTACGTTGATTTTTGGGGTTTTTATTTTGATTTTTTGGGTGATTTTTGAGTGATTTTATGTTGATTTTCGGGGTTTTTATTTTGATTTTTTGGGTGATTTTTTCATTGATTTTTGGGAATTTTTTGGAGATTTTTGGGAATTTTTTGGTGATTTTTGGGAATTTTTTCAGTGATTTTTGGGGGGATTTTGAGGATTTTTAGTGAAATTTTTGGGTGATTTTTTGGGGATTTTTATGCCAATTTTTGGGTGATTTTTGGGATTTTTATGTTGATTTTTTGGGTGATTTTTGGGTGATTTTCGGCATTTTTATGGTGATTTTTTGGGGGATTTTTGGGTGATTTTATGTTGATTTTTGGGTGATTTTTGAGTGATTTTTTGGATTTTTATGTTGATTTTTTGGGTGATTTTTGGGTGATTTTACGTTGATTTTTGGGGTTTTAATTTGATTTTTGGGTGATTTTTATGGTGGTTTTAGAGATTTTTATGGTGATTTTTAGGTGATTTTTTCATTGATTTTTGAGTGATTTTTGGGAATTTTTTGGTGATTTTTTGGGTGATTTTTGGGTGATTTTTGGGATTTTTACATTGATTTTTGGGGGATTTTGAGGATTTTTTGTGAATTTTTTGGGCAATTTTGGGTGATTTTTTTGGCATTTTTATATTGATTTTTGGGCGATTTTTGGGATTTTTTTGTTGATTTTTTGCATTTTTACGTTGATTTTTGAGCCATTTTTACATTGATTTTTGGGTGATTTTAGGGATTTTTATGGTGATTTTTGGGTGATTTTTTGGTGATTTTTTTGGGTGATTTCTGGTGATTTTTGGCATTTTTATGTTGATTTTTTGGGTGACTTTTGGGATTTTTACATTGATTTTTGAGCCATTTTTGCATTGATTTTTGGGTGATTTTAGGGTGATTTTATGTTGATTTTTATTTTGATTTTTTGGGTGATTTTTATGGTGATTTTTGGGGGATTTTAGAGATTGTTATGGTGATTTTGGGGGTGATTTTTTCATTGAATTTTCATTGATTTTTTTTCATTGATTTTTTTTGGTGATTTTTGGGTGGTTTTTTTTTAATGGTGATTTTTGGGATTTTTACATTGATTTTTGGGGGGATTTTGAGGATTTTTAGTGAGTTTTTTGGGTGATTTTTGGGTGATTTTTTGGGGATTTTTATGCCAATTTTGGGGTGATTTTTGACATTTTTATGTTTATTTTTTGGGTGATTTTTATGTTGAATTTTGAGCCATTTTTGCTTTGATTTTTGGGTGATTTTTGGGATTTTTTTGGTGATTTTTAGGATTTTTACATTGATTCTTGACAGGGATTTTGAGGATTTTTAGTGATTTTTTGAGGCAATTTTTGGGCAATTTTGTGGGATTTTTTGGGGGGATTTTTATGCCAATTTTTGGGTGGTTTTTTCATTGATTTTTGGCATTTTAATGGTGATTTTTTGGGGTGATTTTTGGGTGATTTTGAGGATTTTTATGTTGATGTTTGGGCAACTTTTGAGATCACTTTTTGGACCTTTCCAACGATTTTTGGGGCGATTTTCGACCTAATTTTGAGCCTTTCACCACCAACTTTTACAACAACATTTTAAATTTCCATCCTCATTTTTACAGCACAAATCCCAAACCCGTAAAAACCCCAAAACCCCAAGAATTCCCCCCAAAAAGTCCAAATCCTTCACTCGCTGTCGGAGCTGACGACGCCGCGGAGCCGCGACCAATCCGGGGGAGGGACGGGCGATTTCGGGGGCGATTTTGGGGCATTTTCGGGGTTTCTCCGCCGGGATCTCGCTGGGGATGGAAGTGAAGAGGTTAAAAATGGAGAATTTGGGAAAATTTGGGTAAATTTGGGGTTTTTTTGGGGGTTTTTTACCGGGTAAAATGTTGGAGGCGTCGAGGGCGGCGAGTTCGGCTTTTTCCTCGCGGCGCCGGCCCAGGCGGCGGCACCGGGCCAGGGAGGGGGCGCCTGGAAAAGGCCAAAATCCACCCAAAATTGGGCCCAAAATCTCCAAATTCCAGCAAGTTCCAAGAATTTCCTTAAAATTCCCCGAAATCCCCCCAAAATTCCATCCCCAAAATCTGAAAATTCCACAGAAATTCCCCTTAAAATCCTCAATTCTCCCCTCTGATTTTCCCCCTCAAAACGGCAAATTCCAGCCAAAATCCGCCTCAAAATCCCACAATTCCATCAAAATCCGAAAATTCAGGAAAAATCCCAGCAAAATCCCCAAATTTCATCGAAATCCCCTCAAAATCCTGAAATTCCACTCAAAATCACCCTCAAAATCCTGAAATTCCACCCAAAATTCAACCCTAAATCCCAAAATGGACCCAACATCTCAAAATTCCACCAAAATCCCAAAATTTCACCCAAAATTGCACCAAACTCTTCTCAAAATCCCAAAATTCCATCCAAAATCCCAGAAATCTCCCCAAAATTATAAATTTCCCCCAAATTCCACTAAAATTCCAATTTTTCACAATTTTTCCTAAAATTTTTCCCCAAATCCCCCCAAAAATCCAAATTTTGCCCAATTTTCTCCAAAATTTCCGCAAAATTCCCAATTTCCCCCAAAATTATGCAAAATTTCCCCCAAAATTCCAAATTTTTCCCAAAATTCCCCCTAAAATTCCAAATTTTTCCCAATTTTCCCCATAATTTCCCCCAAAATTCCCAATTTTTCCCCAAATCCCCCATAATTTCCCCAAAAATTCCAAATTTTTCCCAATTATCCCCAAAATTTCCCCCAAAATTCCCAATTTTTCCCCAAACCCCCCAAAATTTCCCACAAAAATCCCCCAAAAATCCCCAAATCCCCTCACGTACCATCGAGTCCCGCCCCGCGCCGGGCCCATCCCAGCCCCAAAACCCCCCTCAAAACCCCCCCCAAACCCCTTTAAATCCACCCCAAACCCCCCAAAATCCCACAAAAACAGCACAAAAATCCCCAAAAATCCCAAATTTCCCGGATTTCCCCCCAAAATTCCCGGATTTCCCCGCAGATCTCGCGGTTACCGCGCAGGCCCAGGTCTCGCAGGGCGCCCCTGAGCGCCTCCAGGACCTCGCGGCGGCTGCGGCACTTCCGGAAGAGGCGTTTGTAGTTGGGGCGCCCCCCGGCGGCGCGGAGGTAGCGCTTCAAGCGCGCCACTTCCGGTGGGTCCTGGGGGCGGGGCTTAGCGTCAGATGGGCGGGGCTTGTGTAAGCCACGCCCCCTCCGAGGGAATTGGCGGGAAACGCGGGGAAAATGAGGGAATTTTGAGCGGGAATTGAGGGGGGCAAGGGTGGGGAAGGGTTTGTGGGGAAATTGAGGGGAAATTCAGGGAGTTGGTTTGGATTTTAGCAAATTCATGCAAAATTTCACCAAAATTTAAATGAAATGATCAGGAATTCCATAAAATCACCCCCAGATGCCTCCCCTTAGAATCTCCCAAAATCCAACCCCAAAAAATCCCCAAATCCCCATAAAAATTCCCAGATTTGTCCCAAATCCCCACAAAAATTGCAACAAAATCTCCCCAAAAAATCCCCAAATTTGTCCCAAATACCATAAAATTTTTACCAAAATAGTCCAAAAAATCCCCACAAAATAGTCCAAAATTTTTCCCAAATCCCCATAAAAATTCGACCAAAATCTCCCCCCCAAAAATCCCCAATTTTTCCCCAAATCCCCACAAAAATTCGACCAAAATTTCCCCCCAAAAAATCTCCAAATTTGTCCCAAATCCCCACAAAAATTCGACCAAAATTTCCCCCAAAAATCCCCAAATTTGTCCCAAATCCCCACAAAAATTCTATCAAAATCTCCCCCAAAAAATCGCAAAATTTTCCCCAAATCCTCATTAAAATTCGACCAAAATCTCCCCCCAAAAATCCCAAAATTTGTCCCAAATCCCCATAAAAATTCAACCAAAATCTCCCAAAAAAATCCCCAAATTTTCCCTAAAATCCCCACAAAAATTCGACCAAAATCTCCCCAAAATTCCCCAAATTTTCCCCAAATCCCCATAAAAATTCTACCGAAATCTCCCCAAAAAATCCCCAAATTTGTCCCAAATCCCCACAAAAATTCAACCAAAATCTCCCCCCAAATTTTTCCCCAAAACTGCAAAATTCCCCCAAAAAATTCCCCCCAAAAGTTCCAAATTTTTCCAAAATTCCCAAAAAAAAATCCAAATTTCCCCCAAATCTTCCCCAAATAATCCCAAAATTTCCCCCCAAATTCCCAATTTTTCCCTCAAAATCCCCCCAATCCCCCAAATTCCAACAACCCCAAAAATCCCAAATTTTTCCCCCCAAAAACTCCCAGATTTTCCAAAAATCCCCCAAAAAACCCCAAACATTTCCCCAAAAAATCCCAAAATTCCCCCAAAATTTTCCCCAAAATTCCAAATTTTTCTCCAATTTTCCCCCTAAAATTCCCCAAATTTCCCAATTTTCCAAGATTCCCCCCAAAATCTAAAAATTTCCAAAAAATTCCCAAATTTTCCCCCCAAAATTTCCAATTTTCCTCCCCAATTTTTCCCCAAAAAATTTTTAAAAATTCCAAATTTTCCCCCAATTTTCCCCCAATTTTCCCCCCAAAATTTCCAATTTTTCCCCCAATTTTTCTCCCCAATTTTTCCCCAAAAAATTTTTAAAAAATTCCAAACTTTCCCCAATTTTCCCCCAATTTTTCCCCAAAAAATTTAAAAAAATTCCAAATTTTCCCCCAATTTTCCCCCCAAAATTTCCAATTTTTCCCCCAATTTTTCTCCCCAATTTTTCCCCAAATAATTAAAAAAATCCAAATTTCCCCCAATTTTCCCAATTTTTCCCCATCAAAAATTTTTTAAAAATTCCCAAATTTTCCCCCAAAATTTCCAAATTTCCCCCCAATTTTTTCCCCCAATTTTCCCCAAAAAATTTTTAAAATTCCAAATTTTCCCCAAATTTTCCCCCAAAATTTCCAATTTTCCCCCCAATTTTTTCCCCAATTTTTCCCCAAAAAAATTTTTAAAAAATCCAAATTTTCCCCAAAAAATTCCAAATTTTCCCCCAATTTTCCCCCCAAAATTTCCAATTTTTCCCCAAAAAAATTTTTAAAATTCCAAATTTCCCCCAAAAATTCCAAATTTTCCCCCAATTTTCCCCCAAAATTTCCCCCAATTTTTTCCTGAATTTTTCCCCCAAAAAATTTTTAAAATTCCAAATTTTCCCCCCAAAATTCCAAATTTTCCCCCAATTTTCCCCCAAAAATTCCAAATTTTCCCCCAATTTTTCCCCCAATTTTCCCCCCAAAATTTCCAAATTTTCCCCAATTTTTCCCCTAATTTTCCCCAAAAAATTTTTAAAAAATTCCAAATTTTCCCACCCAAAAAACCCCAAAATCCCCCAAAATCCCCCCAAATTTTCACCTTCCCGCGCCTCCACCACTCCTCCTCTTCCTCCTCCTTGTCCTTCCTCCTCCTCCTCTTCCTCTTCTCCTCCTCTTCCTCCTTTTTTTCCCCTTTTTTCCTTTTTTCCGCCCATTTCGCCAACGGCAAATCCTCGGAATCGGAGCCGGAGGAATTTTCCGGAATTTTTGGGGATTTTTGGGGAATTTTCGAGGCTTTTTTGGGATTTTCTTCCTCCTCCTCTTCATCCTCCTCTTCCTCGCTCTCAAATTTGGATTTTTTGGCCGCGTTTTTTGCCGATTTTTGGGGTTTTTTCCCCATTTTTCCTGGTTTTTTCCCATTTTTTCTTTCATTTTTTCCATCTGAATCTTCCTCCTCTTCCTCCTCTTCCTCCTCATCTTCATCCTCATCTTCCTCCTCCTCTTCCTCACTCTCAAATTTGGATTTTTTGGCCCCTTTTTTTATAATTTTTTGGGGTTTTTTCCCATTTTTTCCCGGTTTTTTCCCATTTTTCCCATCCGAATCTTCCTCCTCTTCCTCCTCTTCCTCCTCATCTTCATCCTCCTCTTCCTCACTCTCAAATTTGGATTTTTTGGCCTCATTTTTTGCTGTTTTCTGCGGTTTTTTCACAATTTTCCCCGATTTTTTCCCATTTTTTCCAGATTTTCTCTCATCTTCCTCTTCTGAATCTTCCTCTTCATCTTCCTCTTCCTCCTCATCTTCATCCTCCTCTTCCTCACTCTCCATTTTCCCCTTTTTGGCCTCGTTTTTTGCAGTTTTTGGGGTTTTTTCCCCATTTTTTCCCTTTTTTCCTCTATTTTTCCCACCTGGATCTTCCTCTTCCTCATCTTCCTCCTCCTCTTCCTCCTCCTCTTCCTCACTCTCCATTTTCCCCTTTTTGGCCCCATTTTTTCCCACTTTTTGGGGTTTTTTTACAATTTTTCCCGATTTTCCCCCATTTTTTCCCGTTTTTCTCCCATTTTCCCAGTCTGAATCTTCCTCTTCTTCCTCCTCTTCCTCCTCCTCTTCCTCACTCTCCATTTTCCTTTTTTTGGCCCCGTTTTTTGTCATTTTTTTGGATTTTTCCCCAATTTTTCCTCTTTTTTTCCCTGTTTTTCTCTCATTTTTCCAATCTGAATCTTCCTCCTCTTCCTCTTCCTCCTCCTCATCTTCATCTTCCTCCTCTTCCTCACTCTCCATTTTCCCCTTTTTGGCCTCGTTTTTTGCCGTTTTTTTGCTGTTTTTTCACATTTTTTCCTGGTTTTTTCCTATTTTTCCCACCTGGATCTTCCTCCTCATCTTCCTCTTCCTCCTCCTCTTCCTCACTCTCAATTTTCCTCCTTTTCCCCCAATTTTTCCCCTCCTTTTCCCCCTCTTTTTTCCCGGGTTTTCCTAATTTTTCCCCAATTTTTCCCTTTTTCACCCCAATTTTCCTCCCCTCCTCTTCCTCATCTTCCTCCTCATCTTCCTCTTCCTCGCTCTCAATTTTCCTCCTTTTTGTCCCAATTTTTTCCTCTTTTCTCCCAATTTTCCCCATTTTTTCCTCATTTCTCCCAGATTTTCTCCCAATTTTTCCCTTTTTCACCCCATTTTTCTTCCTCTTCTCTTCTGCCTCCTCATCTTCCTCTTCCTCCTCATCTTCCTCCTCCTCCTCATCTTCCTCTTTCTCCTCCTCCTCACTCTCAATTTTCTTTCTTTTTGTCCCAATTTTCCCCATTTTTTCCTCATTTTTCCCGGGTTTTTTTGAGTTTTCCTCATTTTTTCCCCTTTTCACCCCAATTTTCTTCCTCTCCTCTTCTTCCTCTTCTTCCTCCTCCTCCTCTTCCTCCTCCTCTTCCTCACTTTCAATTTTCTTTCTTTTTCTCCCAAAATTCCCCATTTTTCCCTCATTTTCCCCCGATTTTTCCCCAATTTTTCCTTTTTTCACCCCAATTTTCTTCCTCTGCTCCTCCTCTTCCTCTTCTTCACCTTCTTCCTCATCTTCCTCTTCCTCACTCTCAATTTTCCCCTTTTTCGCCCCATTTTTCCCAGATTTTCCCCCAATTTTTCCTTTTTTCACCCCAATTTTCTTCCCCTCCTCTTCCTCCTCCTCCTCATCTTCATCCTCATCTTCCTCCTCCTCACTCTCAATTTTCCTCCTTTTTTCTCTTTTTTCCCCCATTTTGTCCTCCCTTTTTCCCGAATTTTTCGATTTTTCCTCATTTTTTCCTTTTTTCACCCCAATTTTCTTCCTCTCCTCTTCCTCATCTTCATCCTCTTCCCCGCTCTCAATTTTCCTCCTTTTTGCGTCATTTTTGCCGAATTTTTCCTCATTTTTCCCCTTTTTTGCCCCATTTTTCTTCCTCTCCTCTTCCTCATCCTCGCTCTCCATTTTCCCCTTTTTTGCCCCATTTTTCCCAGATTTTTCTGCAATTTTTCCCTTTTTCACCCCAGTTTTCTTCCTCTCCTCCTCCTCCTCCTCTTCCTCCTCCTCCTCTTCCTCCTCCTCTTCCTCACTCTCAATTTTCCCCTTTTTTGCCCCATTTTTCCCTGATTTTTCCTCATTTTCGCCCTTTTTCTCCCCAGTTTCCCCTTCCTCTTCCTCACTCTCAATTTTCCTCATTTTCTCCAAATTTTCCCCATTTTCCCCCCCACTTTTCTCCTCCTCTTCCTCCTCACTCCCAATTTCCCCCTTTTCCCCTACATTTTCCCCAATTTTTCCCAATTTTCCCCCATTTTCCTTCCTCTCCTCTTCCTCCCCGTCCATTTTCCTCATTTTCACCCCATTTTTTTCCATTTTTTCACCATTTTCCCCCTTTTTCACCCCAATTTCCCCCTCCTCTTCCTCCTCACTACCATTTTTCCCGCCATTTTCCTCATTTTTCCCGCCTTTTCCGCCATTTTCCCGCCCTTCCATCTCTCCGCCGGGGGGCGCAACGCACAAGGCGTGGTCCCCACTGGCCACGCCCCCTTCCACCTCCGCGCATGCGCTGTCGGCCTCGCCCCAACCCGGCGCCCTGCGGAGGGGAAAAAAGGGCGTGGTCAAGCAGGGCGTGGTCGCCTTGGGGGCGTGGCCAGCTCAGGGCGTGGCCCCGGGGGGTTCCCGCTGCCTCCCCATCCCCTCCCGGTACCGTTCGCAGCCGCTCGGCGCCGCCGCCGCCGCCATTTTTGAGCCCTCAGGGCGGCAGCCAATGAGGATTGAGATAAAAGACAGCGGGGCGGGGATTAAAGCGCGGGACCAATTAGAAGGAGGCGCTATAAACCCGTAAGTCAAATCAACTAAAAGAGGCGAGGGAAAGGCCGGATGTAAATGAGCGATAGGGGTTGGAGCCAATCGGAAGCGGAGCTCGGTAGCGCTAGCCAATAGGAGTGGGAGGAAAGAGGAACAACGTGGGGTACTGAGCGGCGGCTCCTTGAGCCAATCAGAAGGCAGCTTGAAAACACAGCAGCCAATAAGAAGCGGCTAGAGGTGGGACAAAGTCGCTGAGCCAATAGCGGTAAAGCCGCTGCGGGAACAAGCTGAGAAATGATTGACAGGAGCGCGGTTTAATGAGATTTTAGCGTTTTAAACGCTCAACCAATCAGCAACACGCGCAGGCGGGACTTAACCCACCCACCCAATCACGCTCGGAGAAGAACCCGGAAGCGGCAGGCGGGATTTCCGTCTTTTCAACCAATCAGACAGCGGCGCGGGAAGCTGGCAACCAATGAGGAGCGAGGGAAAGGGCGGGGCTTGTCCGTCATGAACGGAGCGAGCGAGGGCGATGTCGGCGGCTACAAACGGCGCTGCCGGGCCCTGAAACGGCGCCTGAAGCTGCTGCTCTACGTGAGGGGCGGGACCCGACGTGAAGGGCGTGGCCTAAAAGGGCGGGATGGGAAAGGGGCGGGGCTTAATCGTGAGGGGAGCCCGGGGGTCCGGGGGGGGTGAGGGGAGGATGGGGAAATTTCAGGGAAAAATTAAAAGTTTGAGGGGGAAAATTGAAAACTTGGGCGTGAAATTGAAAATATGGGGGAAAATTAGGGGAAATTTGGGTTATTGGGGGGTTTGGGGGGAAAATTGGGGTTTTTGAGGGAGAAAAGGGAATTTGGTGGGGGGGGAATGGGAATTTTTAAGTAGAAAATTTGAATTTTTGAGGGAAAGTGAATTTTGGGTGGGAAGTGTTCGATTAAGGGGAAAAAGCTGAATGTTTGGGAGGGGGAAGCCAAATTTCAGGGGAAAAAAAAGAATTTGGGGGGTTTAAATCCCCAAATTTTAGACCGGAGAGAAAGTGAAATTTAACGATTAAAACCCCCGAATTTTATGGGGAAAAAAGCCAAATTTGGGGGGCAAAAGCTGAATTTTATGGGGAAAATAGGCCAAAATTTTGGGAGGAAAAAGTTACAAATGTTAGGGACAAAAAGCCGAAATTTTAGGGGGAAGAAGTTCGATTTTGTGAGGAAAAGAAGAGAAGTTTTAGGGGAAAGAAGCTAAATTTTAGAGAGGAAAAAAATTTCAAATTTTGGGGGGGAAAAGGTTAATTTTGGGGGAAAAAAGCCAAATTTTGGAAGAAAAAACGTGAAATTTTGGGGGGAAAATCACCCAGGTTTTAGGAGGAAAAAAAAGCTGAATTTGGGCAAAAACAAAAGCGAAATTTTGGGAGGGGGAAAGGTGAATTTGGAGGGGTAAAAACCCAAATTTGGATGGGGTAAAAAGCCAAATTTTGGAGTGGAAGAGCTGAATTTTGCAGGGAAAAAAGGTGAAATTTTAGGGGGAAAAATAAAATTTTTAGAGGGGTAAAGAAGCCAAATTTTGGGGTGAGAAAGGTAAATTTCAGGGGGAAAAAGGTGAATTTTGGGGTAAAACCCCAGGATTTTGGGGTTGGGGTTTTAAGGGTTGATCTCCCATTCCCCTCTGTGGGTGGGCGTGGTTGAATTGGCCCCGCCCACCCCTTTGGCTCCGCCCCCCAGGAGCAGGAATGTTTCCAGGAGGAGCTGAGGAGGGCCCAGCGCAAACTGCTGAAAGTCTCACGGGATAAAAGGTACCAAAATCCACCAAATTCACCCCAAAAATCCCATTTGCATTTTTTATTCTAAAATTTCATTTTTATTTTTGGCTTTTTTGCCCCAAATTCCCTTTTTTTTTTTAAATTTTTGGCTTTTTTCCCCAAAATTCCCATTTTTTTGTTTTCTGTTTTTATTTTTGGGTTTACTTTTTTTCCTCCCAAAACCTTCCAATTTTTAGTTGATATTTTTATTTCAGTCCCAAAATTCTTATTTTTTAAATTTTACTTTTAATTTTAAATTCTTTTCCTCACCTTTTCTTTTATAAAAAAAATTTACATTTTCTCTTCCCCCTGTAATTCCCCATTTTTAATTTTTATTTTCTCCCCCAAAATTCCCATACTTTTTATTTAACATTTTAATTTTAATTTTTATTTTCATTTTCTTTTTTTTTCTTTTGATTTATTTTTTAATTTATATACCAAATTCCCCAATTTTTTATTTTTGTTTTTGTGTGCTAGTTTTAGTTTTAGTTTTCCCTCAAATTTCCCAATTTTTTATTTTTATTTTTGTGCTTAGTTTTAGTTTTAGTTTTCCCACATTTTTCCCAATTTTTTATTTTTATTGTTATTTTCATTATCATTTTCCTTTTTTTAATTTTTCCTTCCAAATTCCCATCTTTTTTAAATTTTTATTTTTATTTTCCTTTTCATTTACATTTTCTTTTTTATTTTTATTTTTCCTTAAAATTTCCCACTTCCTTACTTTTGCTTTTATTTCATTTTCATTTTTATTTTTTATTTTTCCTTCAAATTTCCCACTTGCTTACTTCTGCTTTTATTTCATTTTTATTTTTCATTTCTTTCTTCAAATTTCCCAATTTTCTCTTTTTATTTTCATATTTTTTTTTTAATATTTTCCTTTTATTTTTAATTTAAATTTCCCAATTTTTTCTCATTTCCCTCCAGTTTCCTCCTGGACCGGCTCCTCCAGTACGAAAACGTCGACGATGATTCCTCAGGTACCTTGGTGGGCGGGGTCAAAGGTCAATCCTGGGCGTGGCCCCGCCCCCTCCTCCACCCCTCTGATTGGCTCCTCCCCCCTTGCCCAGACTCAGAGGCGACGGCGTCGTCCGACAACAGCGACGGGGACGGCGCCAAGGGGGCGGAGCCAACGCCCGCCAAGAGGTCAGGAAGGGGTTAAAGGGGGCCAAGATGGCTGCCGGGAGGTGGGCGTGGCTTTAAGATGGGGGCCGATGTGGGCGTGGCTTCAAAATGGCCGCCGAAGGGTTGGGTGGGGTTTCAAAATGGCGGATCTGGAAGTGGGTGTGGGTTCAAGATGGCTGCCGGGAGTGGGCGTGGCTTCAATGTAGTCACTTTTTTTCGGGGAAGTGGGGAATCCAAGATGGCCGCCACTGGAAGTGGGCGTGGCCACAGCCATAACTGGGTGGAGCAGTTGTATGTGTAAGATTCAAGATGGCTGCCATCATGGAGGTCAAAATCCAAGATGGCTGCCATCATGGAGGTCAAAATCCAAGATGGCCGCCATCATGGGGATCAGAATCCAAGATGGCCTCCCCAAAGGGGTCAAAATCCAAGATGGCTGCCATCATGGGGATCAGAATCCAAGATGGCCGCCATCATGGAGGTCAAAATCCAAGATGGCCACCCCAAAGGGGTCAAAATCCAAGATGGCCGCCATCATGGAGGTCAAAATCCAAGATGGCCGCCATCATGGAGGTCAAAATCCAAGATGGCCACCCCAAAGGGGTCAAAATCCAAGATGGCCGCCATCATGGAGGTCAAAATCCAAGATGGCCGCCATCATGGGGATCAGAATCCAAGATGGCCACCCGAAAGGGGTCAAAATCCAAGATGGCCTCACCCAAAGTGGGCGTGGCCAACGCTTTCCCTCCCCCCACAGGCGCCGCTCGCCCTCCCCTCCCCCCTCGACCTTCGGCCCCTCCCCCTACATGGTGAGTGCCCCTCCCCCACCCCAAACCCCTCCCCCTTTTTAAAGCCCGCCCCTTTTTGCCAAGTGGGCGTGGCTTAACTTTTGCCCCTCCCTCCAAGATGGCGTCGCCGCCCTACAGCCCCTTCCCGGCGCAGTTCCCGCCCCTCCCCCCGCAGGGCGGGGCCAGGCCACGCCCCTCCCCCGCCCGGCGCAGCAAAGGGACCCGGAAAGGGCAGGTAAAGGGGGCGGGGCCAAAAGGGGGAGGGGTCATTGGGGGAATTGCAAAGGGGGCGGGGCTAAGGAGGGGGGGACATTTGGGGAATTGCAAAGGGGGCGGGGCTAAAGGTGAGAGGGGTCATTGGGAAATATCAAAGTGGGTGGGGCTAAAGGGGGAGGAGTCATTGGGGTATTAGCAAAGGGGGCGGGGCTAAATGTGGGGGGGTCATTGGGGAATTGCAAAGGGGGTGGGGCTTAAGGGGGAGGGGTCACTTAAAAGGAGGAGGGGACAATAAAACAGGGAGGGGCCAAAAAGGGAAAGTGGGAGGGGTCACTGAAAGGGGGAGGGGCCAATAAAAGGGGAGGAGCCAAAGAAGGGGGAAAGGGGGAGGGGTCACTGAAAGGGGGAGGGGTCACTGAAAGGGGGAGGAGTCATCCAGGGTTCATTTGGGGGCGTGGCCACTGGGGGGTCACACAGGGGTCACGCAGGGGTCACTCATTGGTCACTCCTCACTGACCCCTCCCCCCTCTCTCTCTCTGTCCCCTCCCCCCCCAGGCTCCCCCTGCCCCTCCCCCTCTCCCCTTTGGCACGGGCGGGGCAGGGGCGGGGCTGTCCGGGGGGCGTGGCCCCGGCTCGCCCCTCCCGCCGCCGGCGCTGGCCCCGCCCCCGGCCCCGCCCCCCGTTCCGGCCACGCTCCCGCGGCGGCTCCTGAGCGACCCCGGGGAGGGGGAGGGGGAGGGCAGCGATGACCCCTTGGACGGGGACGATGAGCTGGTCATCGACCTCCCTGAGTGACCAATGAGTGACCACTGAGTGACCACTGACCCCTCTGAGTGACCATCGACCTCCCTGAGTGACCATCGACCTCCCTGAGTGACCATCGACCTGCCCGAGTGACCACTGACCACTGAGTGACCACTGACCATGGAGTGACCACGGAGTGACCATTGACCCCTCTGAGTGACCATCGACCTCCCTGAGCTGGTCATCGACCTGCCCGAGTGACCAGTGAGTGACCACTGAGTGACCACTGACCATGGAGTGACCACTGACCATGGAGTGACCATCAACCTCCTGGAGTGACCATCGACCTCCCTGAGTGACCACCAAGTGACCATTGACCCCTCTGAGTGACCATCGACCTGCCCGAGTGACCATGGAGTGACCACTGAGGGACCATTGACCATGGAGTGACCATCGACCTCCCCGAGCTGGTCATCGACCTGCCCGAGTGACCACTGAGTGACCACTGAGTGACCACTGAGTGACCACGGAGTGACCACTGGTCATTGACATCATGGAGTGACCATAAAGTGACCATTGACCATGGAGTGACCATTGGCCATTGAGTGACCATTGAGTGACCATTGGTCATCGACACCATGGAGTGACCATGGAATGACCATTGGTCATTGAGTGACCATTGGCCATTGACATCATGGAGTGACCACCAAGTGTCCACTGACCATGGAGTGACCACTGAGTGACCATTGGTCATCAATATCATGGAGTGACCACTGAGTGACCACTGACCATTGAGTGACCACCGAGTGACCATTGAGTGACCATTGGTCATCGATACCTTGGAGTGACCATTGAGTGACCATTGGCCATTGACATCATGGAGTGACCACCAAGTGTCCACTGACCATGGAGTGACCACCAAGTGACCATTGGTCATCGACATCATGCAGTGACCATTGAGTGACCACTGAGTGACCACTGACCATGGAGTGACCATCCAGTGACCACTGAGTGACCATTGAGTGACCATTGAGTGACCATTGGTCATCAACATCATGGAGTGACCACTGACCATGGAGTGACCATTGAGTGACCATTGGTCATCGACATCATGCAGTGACCATTGAGTGACCACTGAGTGACCATTGACCACTGAGTGACCACTGAGTGACCACTGAGTGACCACTGAGTGACCATTGAGTGACCACTGACCATGGAGTGACCACCGAGTGACCACTGAGTGACCATTGAGTGACCACTGACCACTGAGTGACCACTGAGTGACCATCGAGTGACCATTGAGTGACCACTGAGTGACCACCGAGTGACCACAGCCGGAGGCAGCAACACCGAAAGATTTTGGGGAGGAAATTTGGCAATTTTGGGAGGAAAAACCCAAAAAAAAAAACCAACAAAAAAGTTGAGGAAAAAAATCCAAAATTTGGAAAAATTCAAGAGGGAAAAATTCCAAAATTTTAAAAAAGAAGAGAAAAAAAAAAAGAAAGTTTTGGGAAAATTTGAATTTTTGGGGAGGAGAAAAATGGGATTTTAGAAGGAAAAAATGGAATTTTTTTGGAGGGGGAAATGGAATTTTGGGAGGGAAAAAAAAGAAATTTGGGAAAAAATCCAAAATTTTTTGGGAAAAAAAATTTAAAAATGTTTGGGAAGAAATCCCAAATTCTTGGAGAAAAAAAAATCCAAATTTCTGGGAAAAAAAATCAAAATTTTTGGAGGAAAAAAATCCAAACTTTTGGGAAAAAAATCCAAAATTTTTGGAGAAAAAAAAATCCAATTTTTTTTTTTGAAAATGGAATTTTGGAAGGAAAAAATAAAATATTGGGGGGAAAATGGAATTTTGGGGAAAATCCCAATTTTCTTTTTTGAAAAAATGGAATTTTGGGGGGGAAAAATCAGATTTTAAAGGAAAGAATGGATTTTAGGCAGGAAATAAAAAAATTTGTGGAAAATTTAAAGATTTTGTGGAAAATGTTGTGATTTTGGGGAATAAAAATGGTTTGGGAGTTTAAAAATGTGAATTTTGGGAAAAATTTTCAAATTTGGGGTAAAAATTTTGAATTTTTTTGAGAAAAGTTTTGAATTTGGGGTAAAAATTCCCAAATTGAAGGCAAAAAAATTAATTTTAGAAGAAAAAAAATTAATTTTGGGCCAAATTTCTCAATTTTGTGTAAAAATACTCAAAAAATTCAAATTTTGGGCCAAAATTCACAATTTTGAGGCAAAACATCTCAATTTGGGGTCAGAACTTCCAAAATTGGCACAAAAAAAATTCAATTCTGGGTAAAAAATTAAATTTTGCATCAAAAGTGTCAATTCTGGGCAAAAAATTAGAATTTGGGTCAAAATGTCCAAATTTTTGGTGAAAATTTTCAATTTTGGGTCAAAAAGTCTCAAATGTATAAAAATTTTTTGTATTTTTGTGGTAAAATTTCCAAACCTTGGGAGAAAAATCTGAATTTTAGGTCTAAAATGTCAATTATAGGTGAAAAATTCTCAATTTTGAATCAAAAAATGTGAATTTTGGGTAAAAAATTCCCAATTTTTGGTTAAAATCCCCAAAGTTTGGGGGTAAAAAAAAAAAAATCTCAATTTTAGGTCCATAATGTCAATTTTGAGTTGAAAAATTAAAATTTTGGGGGAAAAATTCTGAATTTTGGGGTCAAAATTTTAAATTTTGGGTCCAAAAAATCCCAGTTTTGAGTCAAAATTCCCAAATTTGGGAAGGCAAAAAATTTCTGGTCCAAAATGTGAATTTTAACTGAAAAATTCTGAATTTTGGGTCCAAATCGTCCAATTTGACGCCAAAAATTTGAATTTTGGGCCCCAAAATTTCCCAATTTCGGACCCAAATCCCACCTGGGCGTGGCCGTGATGTCATCACCGCTTAGCCCCGCCCCCTCCCTCCCCATCCAATCCCAGCCCTCCCCTATTAAAAGTGGGCGGAGCCTTTGTGATTTTTCCACCCGATTTTTTATTGGTCGGCCCCCGGCCCGGCCCCTCCCCCTCCCCCCGTTAGGGGCGGGGCTTGGAGGGGGGAAATGGGCGGAGCTTAAGGGGTGGGGGAGGGGTTTTTTGGGGGTGTGGAGGGGGCGGGGTTTGGTTTGGCCCCTCCCCCCCTCACCAGCCCTGGCTGCCCCCGGGGGTCCCGTCCAGGGGTGGGGGAGGGGCGGGGGCGGGGCTTGGGGCGGGGCAACCGGAACCTGTGGGGGAGGGGAAAAAAGAGAAACAAAAAAAAGGGGGGAGGGGTCAAGGGATGCCCCTCCCTTTCTTTTAGCCCCTTCCCTTTCTTTTAGCCCCACCCATTTCTTTTAGCCATGCCCCCTTTTAGCCCCACCCCTTCTCTTTTAGCCCCTCCCCTTCTCTTTTAGTCCCACCCCTTTCTTTTAGCTCCTCCCCCTCTTTTTTTGCCACCCCCACCCCCCAAATTCCCAGGGCCCCTCCCCCACCATGACCCCAAACACTCAGGCCCCTCCCCCACTGACCACGCCCACTGACCACACCCATTTAAGCCCCTCCCACACACCCCCCATGCACTTTAGCGCCCCCCAATGGCCACAAACGCTTTGTGTCCCCACTGACCACACCCAGTGACCCCTGACCCCTCCCTGAGTGACCACTGACCCCTGACCCCTCCATGAGTGACCACTGACCCCTCCTCCCACTGACCACACCCAGTGACCACTGACCACTGACCCTTCCATGAGTGACCACTGACCACTGACCCCTCCTCCCACTGACCACACCCAGTGACCAAACCCCTCCATGAGTGACCACTGACCCCTCCGAGTGACCACTGACCACACCCACTGACCTCTGACCCCTCCATGAGTGACCACTGACCCCTCCTCCCACTGACCCTTCCTAGAGTGACCACTGACCATTGACCCCTCCCTGAGTGACCATTGACCACACCCACTGACCATTGACCCCCCCCTGAGTGACCACTGACCCCTCTATGAGTGACCACTGACCCCCCCGCCCACTGACCACTGACCACACCCACTGCCCCCTGACCCCTCCATGAGTGACCACTGACCACGCCCACTGACCCCTGACCCCTCCATGAGTGACCACTGACCACGCCCACTGACCACTGACCACACCCACTGACCACTGACCACACCCACTGCCCCCTGACCCCTCCATGAGTGACCACTGACCACGCCCACTGACCCCTGACCCCTCCATGAGTGACCACTGACCCCTCCTCCCACTGACCACACCCACTGACCCCTGACTCCTCCATGAGTGACCACTGACCACACCCACTGATCACTGACCCCCCCTGAGTGACCACTGACCCCTCCTCCCACTGACCCCTGACCCCTCCCTGACTGACCACTGACCACACCCACCGACCCCTCCTCCACTGACCACGCCCACTTAAGCCACGCCCCATTGAGGGTCTCTTTACCGCCCCCCAGTGGCCGCAAACCCTTTCCACCCCTTCCTGAGTGACCACTGACCACTGACCCCTCCTCCCACTGACCACGCCCACTGCCCCCTGACTCCCCTCCCCCTGCCCCACCTCTGGGCGTGGCCTGGGCGCGGGGGGCGGGGCCGTGCACGCGCAGGTGGTCGCTGACGTAGGCGGCCAAACCCCTCCATGAGTGACCACTGACCACACCCACTGACCACACCCACTTCCCCCTGACTCCCCTCCCCCTGCCCCACCTCTGGGCGTGGCCTGGGCGCGGGGGGCGGGGCCGTGCACGCGCAGGTGGTCGCTGACGTAGGCGGCGCTCAGCAGCTTCCCGCAGACGTGGCACGGCACCTTGTCCTCGTGGCGCACGGCGTGAGCCCGCAGCCGGTCCCGCGTGGCGAACGCCGCCTCGCACGTCTGCGGGGACCAGGGGGTCACTCCAGGGGTCAAGGGGTCAGTCAGGGGTCAAGGGGTCAGTCAGGGGTCAAGGGGTCAGTCAGGTGGTCAAGGGGTCAGTCAGGGGTTGTTTGAGTGGTCAAGGGTCACTCAGGGGTGGTTTGGGGGTAAAAACGTCACTCGGGGGTCATTGGAGTGGTCAAGGGGTCAGTCAGGGGTTGTTTGAGTGGTCAAGGGGTCACTCAGGTGGTCAAGGGGTCAGTCAGGGGTCATTCGAGTGGTCGAGGGGGAAGTCGAGGGGTCGAGGGGTCACTCAGGGGTCATTGGAGTGGTCAAGGGGTCAGTCAGGGGTCAAGGGGTCACTCGAGTGGACAAGGGGTCAGTCAGGGGTGGTTTGGGTGGTCAAAAGGGTCAGGGGTCACTCAAGTGGACAAGGGGTCAGTTGGGGTTGTTTGAGTGGTCAAGGGGTCAGGCGAGGGGTTGAGGGGTCAGGGGTCACTCAGGTGGTCAAGGGGTCACTCAGGGGTCATTCAAGTGGTCAAGGGGTCAGTCAGGTGGTCAAGGGGTCACTCAGGGGTCATTTGGATGGTCAAGGGGTCACTCAGGGGTTGTTTGGGGTCACTCAGGTTGTCGAGGGGTCAGTCAGGGGTCATTGGAGTGGTCAAGGGGTCAGTCAGGGGTGGTTTGGGTGGTCAAGGGGTCACTCAGGTGGTCAAGGGGTCAGTCAGGGGTGGTTTGGGTGGTCAAGGGGTCACTCAGGGGTTGTTTGGGGTCACTCAGGTTGTCGAGGGGTCAGTTGGTGGGTGTGGTCAGTGGGCGTGGTCAGCAGTCAATGGGTGTGGTCGGTTGGTGGGTGTGGTCAGACAATGGGTGTGGTCAGTCAATGGGTGTGGTCAGTTGGTGGGTGTGGTCAGACAATGGGTGTGGTCAGTCAGTGGGAGTGGTCAGTGGGCGTGGCCTCACCTGGCACTTGAATGGCCGCTCGGTGGAGTGAACCTGCCGGACGTGGCTGTTGAGGTGGTCCGGCCTGCGGAGTGACCAGAGGTGACCATGAGTGACCAGAGGTGACCAATGGTGACCAACGGTGACCACCAGTGACCACCAGTGACCAATGGTGACCAACAGTGACCACCGGTGACCAATGGTGACCATCAGGGACTGTCAGTGACCAATGGTGACCACCAGTGACCAACAGTGACCAATGGTGACCACCAGTGACCACCAGTGACCAATGGTGACCAATGGTGACCATTGGTGTGGCCAGTCACTGACCAGTGCCACCAGTGACCAGGACGATGTCCCGAAGTCCCACCAGTCCCACTGTGACCCAAGGATGACCCCAAACCCTCCATGACCCAATGACCACCATGACCCAAGGATGACCCCAAACCCCACCATGACCCAATGACCAACGTGACCCAAGGATGACCCCAAGACCCACCAATGCCACCATGACCAACGACCACCATGACCCCACCATGACCCAATGACCACCACGACCCAACAATGATGACCTCAAACCCCACCATGACCCAGCAACCCAACAATGACCCCAAACCCCACCATGACCCCAAGACCCACCATGACCACAACCACCATGACCCAACAATGACCCCAAACCCCACCATGACCCAACGACCACCATGACACAACCATGACCCCAAACCCACCATGATCCAATGAACCACCGTGACCAACAAGCAACAATGACCCAACGACCACCATGACCCCAAACCCCACCATGACCCCAAACCCCACCATGACCCCCAAACCCCACCATGACCAATGACCACCATGACCCCAAAACCACCATGACCCAACAATGACCCCAAACCCCACCATGACCCAACGACCACCACGACCCAACAATGACCCCAAACCCCACCATGACCCCGCAACCCAACAATGACCCCAAACCCCACCATGACCCAACCATGACCCCAAACCCCACCATGACCCAATGACGTCCAGGACCCAAAGATGACCCCAAACCCCAACACGACAAACGACCACCATGACCCAAAGATGACCCCAAACCCCACCATGACCCAGCAACCCAAAGATGACCCCAAACCCCACCATGACCAAGACCCACCATGACCCAACGACCATGACAAACAACCAACAATGACCCAATGACCACCATGACCCAACGATGACCCCAACACCAACCATGACCCCAAACCCCACCATGACCCCAAAACCCACCACACCCCAACAATGACCCCAAACCCCACCATGACCAATGACCACCATGACCCAACGACCACCACAACCCAACCATGACCCCAAACCCCACCATGACCCAACGATGACCCCAAACCCCACCATGACCCAATGACCACCACACACCCCAACCATGACCCCAAACCCCACCATGACCCCAACACCCACCATAACCAACACCCAACGATGACCCCAAACCCCACCATGACCAACACCCACCATGACCCAACGACCACCACGACCCAATGACGACCCCAAACCCCACCATGACCAACACACACCATGACCCAACGACCATGACCAACAACCAACAATGACTCAATGACCACCACGACCCAACCATGACCCCAAACCCACCATGACCCAATGACAACCATGACCCAACCATGACCCCAAACCCATCATGACCAACACCCACCATGACCAACACCCACCATGACCCAACCATGACCCCAAACCCACCATGATCCAATGACCACCATGACCACAACCACCATGACCCAACAATGACCCCAAACCCCACCATGACCAAACAACCACCACAACCCAACGATGACCCCGAACCCCACCACGACCAACGACCACCATGACCCAATGATGGCCCCAACCCCCACCATGACCCAACAACCACCACGACCCAACAATGACCCCAAACCCCACTATGCCCATACCCCACCATGACCCCAACCCAACAATGATGACCCCAACACCCACCATGACCCAACAACCACCACGACCCAACAATATCCCTAAACCCCATCACAACCAACACCCACCATGACCAATGACCACCATGACCCAACGATGACCCCAAACCCCACCATGACCCAACAACCCAACAATGACCCAACAATGACCCCAAACCCCACCATGACCCAACAATGATGACCCCAAACCCCACCACGACCACAACCCAATGATGACCCCAAACCCCACCATGACCAAGACCCACCATGACCCAACGACCACCATGACCCAACGATGACCCCAAACCCCACCACGACCAATGACCACCATGACCCAACACCCACCATGACCCCAAACCCCACCACGACCCAGCAACCACCATGACCCAAGGATGACCCCAAACCCCACCATGACCCAATGACCACCATGACCCAACACCCACCACGACCCAACCATGACCCCAAACCCCACCATGACCCAGCAACCCAATGATGACCCCAAACCCCACCATGACCCAGCAACCCAATGATGACCCCAAACCCCACCATGACCAATGACCACAACCCAACAATGACCCCAAACCCCATCACAACCAACCCCCACCATGACCCAACGACCACCATAACTGAACCATGACCCCAAACGCCACCATGACCCAGCAATCCAACAATGACCCAACAATGATGACCCCAAACCCCACCACGACCACAACCCAATGATGACCCCAAACCCCACCATGACCAATGACCACCATGACCAACACCCACCATGACACAATGACCACCACCACCCAACAATGACCCCCAACCCCCCCACGCCCCCAACCCCGCCGCCAATGCCGCCGCCGCGCCGCACCTGGAGAAGCTCTTCCCGCAGTGCCCGCAGGCGTAGGGCTTGTGCACGTGGCCCTGGTGGGAGCGGACGTGCGAGGCCATCCTGTCCTTGCGCTTGAAGCGCTGCTGGCACACGGGGCACTGGAAGGGCCTCTCGTCCGTGTGCGACAGCCGGTGCCGTTTCAGGTGGTACACGTCCCGGAACGCCTTCCCGCACGTGTCGCACGCGTGGCTCTTCCTCGCCGCCGTCGCCGCCGCCGCCGTCCTCTTCGTCGCCGCGGCGGCGGCCATGTTGGCGCTGTCACCTCCCGCCCCTTCCTCGTCTTCCGCGGCCTGAGGGGCGTCCAGGAGGTCCTGGGGGAGGGGCAGGAGGGTGGGGGAGGGGCGGGGGGCGCGCTTGGCGGCGCCGGGGACGCCGTGGGTGGCCTGGTGGCGCCGCAGGTTGTAGCCGTTCTTGAACTCCTTGGCGCACAGGCCGCACACGTAGGGGGCGCCCTTGCCCTTCCGGGATGAGGGAGGCGGGGTCGGCGATGACGTCACCGGTGACGTCATGGCCGGGGAGGTGATGGCGGCGGTGTCGGGTTTGAGGGGGGAGGGGTCGATGGTGGGAGGGGGGGGAGGGGGGAGGGGGGGGAGGAGGGGGAGGGTCGGGGGTGGGGGGGGGGAGGGGGGAGGGGCAGGAGATCGACGGGGGAGGGGGGGAGGGGGAGGGGGGGAGGGGGAGGGGCGGCGGCGGCCTGGGGAGAGACAGCAGAACAAAAAACCGGATTGGAGCGGCAGGAACCGGATTGGAGCGGGGGCTCCGGCCGGTCCGAACCGGTTTATACTGGTCCAAAACCGGTCGGAACCGGTTCACACCGGTTGGAACCGGTTCAAACCGGTCGGAACCGGTCGGAACCGGTTCAAACCGGTCGGAACCGGTCTGAACCGGTTCCGACCGGTTCCGACCGGTTTGAACTGGTTCCGACCGGTTCCGACCGGTTCCGACCGGTTTTGGACCAGTATAAACCGGTTCCGACCGGTTCGAACCGGTTCCGACCGGTTCGAACCGGTTCCGACCGGTTCGGACCGTTTCCGACCGGTTTGAACCGGTTCCGACCGGTTCCGACCGGTTCCAACCGGTTCCGACCGGTTCCGACCGGTTCCGACCGGTTCCGACCGGTTTGAACCGGTTCCGACCAGTTTGAACCGGTTCCGACCGGTTCCGACCGGTTTGAACCGGTTCCGACTGGTTTGAACCGGTTCCGAGCGGTTCTGACCGGTTCCGACCGGTTTGAACCGGTTCCGTCCGGTTCCGAGCGGTTCCAACCGGTTCCGACCGGTTTGAACCGGTTCCGAGCAGTAATAGAGCAGTAACACCAGTACGGACCAGTATAAACCAATAATGGGAGCCACAGCAGCGTCCCCATCCCTCCCAGTGCTCCCAGTGCTCCCAGTGCTCCCAGTGCAAAGCCAAGTGTCCCCAGTGCCACCACTGCTACCAGTGCCAGCTCCCAGTGCTCCCAGTTACACCAGTACCGGCACCCTCATCCCTCCCAGTGCTCCCAGTACAGAGTGACACTGGTTTCCCCATCCCTCCCAGTGCTCCCAGTAACACCAGTGCCAGCTCCCAGTTACACCAGTGCTCCCAGTGCTCCCAGTGCTCCCAGTGCCAGCTCCCAGTGCTCCCAGTACAGAGCGACACCGGTGTCCCCATCACCCCCAGTACTCCCAGTACTCCCAGTGCTCCCAGTGCTCCCAGTGCCACCAGTAACAGCTCCCAGTTACACCAGTGCCTCCAGTACAAAGTGACACTGGTGTCCCCATCACGCCCAGTAACAGCTCCCAGTGCTCCCAGTGCTCCCAGTGCTCCCAGTACCGGCACCCTCAGCCCTCCCAGTGCTCCCAGTGCTCCCAGTGCAAAGCCAAGTGTCCCCAGTGCCACCAGTGCTACCAGTGCCAGCTCCCAGTGCTACCAGCAGCAGCTCCCAGTGCTCCCAGTGCCACCAGTACAGAGCGGCACCGCTGTCCCCATCACGCCCAGTGCTCCCAGTTACACCAGTAACAGCTCCCAGTGGTCCCAGTATGGAGCGACAAAAGTGTCCCCATCCCTCCCAGTGCTCCCAGTGTGAAGTGACACCAGTGTCCCCATCACCCCCAGTGCTCCCAGTGCCACCAGTAACACCAGTACCGGCACCCTCATCCCTCCCAGTGCTCCCAATGCTCCCAGTACCGGCATCCCCATCACTCCCAGTGCTCCCAGTATGGAGCGACACCGGTGTCCCCATCACCCCCAGTAACACCAGTAACAGCTCCCAGTGCTCCCAGTACGAACCCACACCAGTGTCCCCATCATCCCCATCACTCCCAGTTACAGCTCCCAGTGCTCCCAGTACCACCAGTAACAGCGCCCAGTGCTACCAGTGCCACCAGTACAGAGCAACACCGCTGTCCCCATCACCCCCAGTGCTCCCAGTTACACCAGTAACAGCTCCCAGTGCTCCCAGTATGGAGCAACAATAGTGTCCCCATCACCCCCAGTGCTCCCAGTGCCACCAGGAACAGCTCCCAGTTACACCAGTGCCACCAGTACAAACCCACACCGGTGTCCCCATCACGCCCAGTGCTCCCAGTAACACCAGTAACAGCTCCCAGTGCTCCCAGTACGAACCCACACCAGTGTCCCCATCATCCCCATCCCTCCCAGTGCTCCCAGTGCTCCCAGTACCAGCATCCTCATCCCTCCCAGTGCTCCCAGCATGGAGCGACAAAAGTGTCCCCATCACCCCCAGTGCTCCCAGTAACAGCTCCCAGTGCTCCCAGTATGAACCCACACCAGTGTCCGCATCATCCCCATCACTCCCAGTTACAGCTCCCAGTGCTCCCAGTACCACCAGTAACAGCGCCCAGTGCTACCAGTGCCACCAGTACAGAGCGACACCGCTGTCCCCATCACGCCCAGTGCTCCCAGTAACAGCTCCCAGTGCTCCCAGTATGGAGCGACAAAAGTGTCCCCATCACGCCCAGTGCTCCCAGTAACAGCTCCCAGTGCTCCCAGTGCTCCCAGTACCGGCACCCTCATCCCTCCCAGTGCTCCCAGTATGGAGCGACACCGCTGTCCCCATCACGCCCAGTGCTCCCAGTAACAGCTCCCAGTGCTCCCAGTACAAACCCACACCGGTGTCCCCATCATCCCCATCACTCCCAGTAACAGCTCCCAGTGCTCCCAGTACCACCAGTAACAGCGCCCAGTGCTACCAGTGCCACCAGTACAGAGCGACACCGCTGTCCCCATCACGCCCAGTGCTCCCAGTATGGAGCAACAAAAGTGTCCCCATCCCTCCCAGTGCTCCCAGTACCGGCATCCTCATCCCTCCCAGTGCTCCCAGTATGGAGCGACACTGGTGTCCCCATCACGCCCAGTGCTCCCAGTGCTCCCAGTAACAGCTCCCAGTGCTCCCAGTACGAATCCACACCGGTGTCCCCATCACCCTCAGTGCTCCCAGTAACAGCTTCCAATGCTCCCAGTACCACCAGTAACAGCTCCCAGTGCTCCCAGTACAAACCCACACCAGTGTCCCCCATCACCCCCAGTGCTCCCAGTGCTCCCAGTACCGCCACCCTCATCCCTCCCAGTGCTCCCAGTACCAGCATCCCCATCCCTCCCAGTGCTCCCAGTGCTCCCAGTATGGAGCGACAGCGCTGTCCCCATCACCCCCAGTGCTCCCAGTAAGAGCTCCCAATGCTCCCAGTACGAATCCACACCAGTGTCCCCATCACCCCCAGTGCTCCCAGTGCTCCCAGTACCGGCACCCTCAGCCATCCCAGTGCTCCCAGTATGGAGCGACACCGCTGTCCCATCACCCCCAGTAACACCAGTAAGAGCTCCCAGTGCTCCCAGTGCTCCCAGTACCACCCACACCAGTGTCCCCATCATCCCCATCACTCCCAGTTACAGCTCCCAGTGCTCCCAGTTACACCAGTAACAGCTCCCAGTGCTCCCAGTATGGAGCGACACTGGTGTCCCCATCACCCCCAGTGCTCCCAGTAACAGCTCCCAATGCTCCCAGTACAAACCCACACCAGTGTCCCCATCACCCCCAGTGCTCCCAGTACGAACCCACACCAGTGTCCCCATCACCCCCAGTGCTCCCAGTGCTCCCAGCACCGCCACCCTCATCCCTCCCAGTGCTCCCAGTGCTCCCAGTCCAGCCCCACCCCGCTGTCCCCACCCCCCCCATGCCACCCCCACCCCTCCCAGTCCCTCCCAGTCCCTCCCAGTCCCCCCAGTCCGAGCCTCCCTCCCCCCCCATCCCCCCCCCAAAACAGCCCCACCCCCCTCCCCCCCTCCCCCTCCGGCGCTCCCAGTCCGATCCCCCCCCCCTCCCCCACCCACCCCTCCCCCCCCCCCCAGCAGCGCCGCCCCTCCCCCCACCTGGAAGATGAAGCTGCTCCAGTTCGCGGGGTCCATCTCGCGACAGTCGCGACCGAATCGCGACCGAATCGCGGCCGGGGAGGAGGAGGAGGAGGAGGAGGGGGAGGGGGTGGGGGGTGGGGGAGGGGTGGGGGGATCGGGTGGGGGGAGGGGCGGGGGGCTCTGAGGGAGGGGGGGGAGGGAGAGCGGCGTGAGGGGAGAGGTGGGCGGGGCTTCGCTGAGGGAGGGGCGTGGTCACCAGCGAGGCGTTGATTGGACGCGGCGCGCCCGCGGAGGGCGATGATTGGGCGGGGCGATGTTAGCCACGCCCCCTTTCCCCCCTCAGGTTTCCCGCCCTGCCGCCGCTCCCGCGCGCCACAAAATGGAGGCGGCCGCGCGCCCCCCGCGCCCCCTCAGGAAAGGAAGGCGCTGATTGGTCAGGACACGCCCACCAGGAGGGGGGAAACCAATCAGGAGGAAGCGCGGCCGAGGCGCCATGTTGGGAGAGCGTTGTCATGGCAACCGCGCTGATTGGTTGACCGGAGGAACAAAGCCCCGCCCCCTCATCAATAAAGCCACGCCCTGTTGATTAATTGGTTATTAATTAATTATTAAAAGAGCACCCGCGGTGTTTTGGCCACGCCCTGCCCGTGGCTCCGCCCCTGTCACGCCAGGCCACGCCCACTGCCGGCGTTTTTCCCGCCATTTTTCCTCCCCTCAGGAGCCGCCGCCATTTTGAGCCCCCCCCGACCCCCCCCCGCAACGGCGCCGAAATCGCTCGAAATTCACCCAAAAATTCAACCAAAATTCACCAAAAATTCACCCAAATCCCAAAAGTCTTCACCGGGATCCTTCAAAAAGGGAATTGATCCCAAAAATTCCCTCTTTGTGAGCCTAAAATTGGCTTTTCTCCCCCCAAACCCCGCTTTTTTATACCCTTAAATCCACATTTTTACCTCAAAAATCCACTTTTTTGTCCCAAAATCTTCATTTTTTACCCCAAAATCCACATTTCCCCACAAAATCTGATTTTCTTTCCCTAAATCTTTCCTTTTTCTACCCTAAATTTGCATTTTGTTCCCTCAAATCCCCCTTTTTTCCCCAAAAAATTCACTTTTTTTCCTCAAAAATGCCTTTATATTCCCCAGTAAAGCACTTTTTACCCCATAAAATTCACCTTTTTTCCTCCAAAATTCAAATTTTTCCCCAAATCCCGCCTTATTCTCAAAAACAATCCCCTTTTTTTCTCCCAAAAATTCCCTTTTTCCGCACAAAATCCCTCTAAAATCTGCATTTTGACACCTAAAATCCATTTTTTTCCCCAAAAATCCGACTTTTCCTCAAAAATTCAATTTTTTCCCCCCAAAATTTCCAATATTCCCCCAACATCCATTCCCCCGCCAATAAAATCCCATTTTTCTCCATATTTTTCACCATTTACCCCAAAAAAATCCTGATTTTCCCCCCAAAATCCCTCCAAAATCCACCTTTTTTTTCCCCAAAAAAATTCCCATTTTTTCACACCCAAATCCATCTTTTTTTCCCCATTTTTTCTATAAATTCAAACTTGGGAAAAAATTTGGAATTTTGGGGGCAATATTTGGGATTTTGGAGGTTTTAATGGAATTTTTTGGTATTTTTTGAAGGAAATTCCAGGATTTTTTTTGGAATTTGGGGCATTTTAGGGCTGTGGGCGGAGCCTCACAGAAGCCCCACCCATTCCCATATATGGTCATATTCAGTGTGGTTTTAATGTATTTTTTTTGTTTGTTTTTAAGAGAATTTTGGTTGGAAATTTCAGCATTTTGGGGAAATTTTGGGATTTCCACAAAGGGGCGGAGCCTCCACCAAAGCCCCGCCCACAACCCCGCCCACCCCACAATTTTAGCTCAATTTTGGGTGTTTTTAATGGGATTTTTTTTATTTTTGGGGTAGAAATTCCGGGATTTTGGAGGGAATTATGGGAATTCAGGCCCAGGGGCGGAGCCTGCGCCCAAGCTCCGCCCACAGGAGCTGTCGCTCGCGCCTGGCCCCGCCCAGGGCCCCGCGGTTCTCGGCCGCTCTCCGCGCCAGGTACGGGATCGTCACCTCGGGGGGACCCAGAGCCACCGATTTGTACACGGGGAGCCCCCCCCAGGCCTGCAGGACACAGCTGGGGTCACTCAGGGGTCACTCAGGGGTCAGGGGTCACTAAGGGGTCACTCAGGGGTGACTCAGGGGTCACCAGGGGTCACTCTGTGGTCACTCATTGGTCACCCATTGGTCACTCAGGGTCACTTTGGTCCCTTTGGTCACCCATTGGTGTCACTTTTGTCCCTCTGTGTCGCTCATTGGTCACTCAGGGTCACTCCATGGTCACTCCACGGTCCCTCTCTGGTCACCCATGGGTGTCACTTTGGTCACTCTGGTCACTCTTTGGTCACTCAGGGTCACCCATTGGTGTCACTTTGGTCCCTCTGTGTCACTCATTGGTTCCTTTGGTCACTCTCTGGTCACTCCATGGTCACTCATTGGTCACTCATTGGTCACTCAGGGTCACCCATTGGTCACCCATTGGTCCCTCTCTGGTCCCTCTGTGTCACTCATTGGTCACTCAGGGTCACCCATTGGTCACCCATTGGTCACTCATTGGTCCCTCTCTGGTCACTCTCTGGTCACTCTGTGGTCACTCTCTGGTCACTCTGTCACTCATTGGTCACTCAGGGTCCCCCATTGGTCACTCATTGGTCACTCTCTGGTCACTCTCTGGTCACTCCATGGTCACCCATTGGTCCCTTCGGTCCCTCTGTGTCACTCATTGGTCACTCATTGGTCACCCATTGGTCACTCAGGGGTCACTCATTGGTCACTCAGGGTCCCCCATTGGTCACCCATTGGTCACCCATTGGTCCCTCTCTGGTCCCTTTGGTCCCTCTGTGTCACTCATTGGTCCCTTTGGTCACACATTGGTCACTCAGGGTCCCCCATTGGTCACTCATTGGTCACCCATTGGTGTCACTTTGGTCACTCATTGGTCACCCATTGGTCACTCATTGGTCACCCATTGGTCACCCATTGGTCACCCATTGGTCACTCATTGGTGTCCCTCAGGTCCCTCTGTGTCACTCATTGGTCACTCAGGGTCACTCTGTGGTCACTCATTGGTCACTCATGGTCACTCATTGGTCACCCATTGGTCCCTCTGTGTCACTCTATGGTCACTCATTGGTCACTCATTGGTGTCCCTCAGGTCCCTCTGTGTCACTCATTGGTCACTCATTGGTCACCCATTGGTCACTCATTGGTCACCCATTGGTCACTCTGGTCACTCTCTGGTCCCTTTGGTCACTCATGGTCACTCATTGGTCACCCATTGGTGTCCCTTTGGTCCCTTTGGTCACCCATTGGTCACTCAGTGTCACCCATTGGTGTCCCTTTGGTCCCTTTGGTCACCCATTGGTCACTCATTGGTCACCCATTGGTCACCCATTGGTCACCCATTGGTCACTCCATGGTCACCCATTGGTCACTCATTGGTCACCCATTGGTCACCCATTGGTCACCCATTGGTCACTCCATGGTCACTCATTGGTCACCCATTGGTCCCTCTCTGGTCACTCTGTGGTCACTCCATGGTCACCCATTGGTGTCACTTTGGTCCCTCTGTGTCACTCATTGGTCACTCAGGGTCCCCCATTGGTCCCTCTCTGGTCCCTCTGTGTCACCCATTGGTCACTCATTGCTCACTCCATGGTCACTCCATGGTCACTCATTGGTCACTCATTGGTCCCTCTCTGGTCCCTTTGGTCACTCAGGGTCCCCCATTGGTCCCTTTGGTCCCTCTGTGTCACTCATTGATCACTCTGTGGTCACTCCTTGGTCACTCAGGGTCCCCCATTGGTGTCCCTTTGGTCCCTCTGTGTCACCCATTGGTCACTCTTTGGTCACTCAGGGTCCCCCATTGGTCACCCATTGGTGTCCCTTTGGTCCCTCTGTGTCACTCATTGGTCACTCCATGGTCACTCAGGGTCACCCATTGGTCCCTCTCTGGTCACTCTCTGTCACTCATTGGTCACTCAATGGTCACTCTGTGGTCACTCTCTGGTCACTCATTGGTCACTCATTGGTCACTGTGGTCACTCTCTGGTCACTCATTGGTCACTCAGGGTCCCCCATTGGTCACTCATTGGTCACTCATTGGTCACTCTCTGGTCCCTCTCTGGTCACTCTGTGGTCACCCATTGGTCACCCATTGGTGTCCCTTTGGTCCCTCTGTGTCACTCACCCAGGGCCAGGCTCAGGTTCTCCCCCATCCCCTGCAGTTGCCCAAAGCAAACGGAGCCGGGTGGGACCCGGGACAGCCTGGGGGGGAAAATTTGGGGTCAAATCCAGCGATTTTGGGGCTTTTCCGAAAATCACCCCCAAATTACCCCAAAATCAACCCAAAAATTCACCCGAAATGAAGAAAATTTAATTAAAATTTAACTCTAAATTAAGCAAAAGTTAACCCCAAAATTAATATGAAATTAGGCTAAAATTAACAAAATTTAATTAAAATTTAACTCTAAATTAAGCAAAATTTAACCCCAAAATTAAGATGAAATTAGGCTAAAATTAACAAAATTTAATTAAAATTTAACTCTAAATTAAGCAAAAGTTAACCCCCAAATTAATTAAAAATTAGGCAAAAATTAACCCCATTTTAATCAAAAATTAACCAAAATTTTTGGTAACAAATGAACCCCAAATTAATAAAAAATTAATAAAAATTAATAAAAATTAATAAAAATAAATAAAAAATAACAAAAAAATTACTCAAAATTCACCCAAAATTATAACAGAAATTAACCCAAAATTAACCAAAAATTAACAGCAAATTAGCCAAAATTAATAATTGCCCCCAAAGTTACCCCAGAATTCAGAAAAATTCACCAAAAATCACCAGAAAATTAGAAAAAAATTAGAAAAAAATTCACAAAAATGTCACAAAAAATTCACCAAAAAATTCAGAAAAATCACCAAAAAATCACCAAAAAAATCCCCAAATATCCATAAAAAATCCTCCTAAGATTCCCATAGAAATCACTCAAAAAATCACCAAAAAATCCCTAAAAATACAAAAAAAATTAAAGAAAAAAATCCAAAAAAATTAAAGAAAAAAATCACAAAAAAAAAAAAGAAAAAAATCACAAAAAATTGCAAAAATCACCGAAAAGATTCCCAAAAAATAATGGAAAACTCATTAAAAATTCCCAAAAAATCACAAAAATAATCACCAAAAAATGCCCAAATATGCCTAAAAAATCCTCCTAAAATTCCCATAGAAATCACCAAAAAATCGCCAAAAATTACAAAAAAATACCAAAAAAATTACAAAAAACCCTAAAAAATTTATGAAAAAAATCACAAAATTTAAAGAAAAAAAAAATCACCAAAAATTAAGGAAAAATCCCAAAAAATGAATGAAAAAATCACCAAAAAATTACAAGAATCACCAAAAAAATTCACAAAATATTAATAAAAAACAGATTAAAAATTCCCAAAAAATCGCTAAAAAATCACCAAAAAATAAAAAAAAAAATTCCAAAAAAAATCCCAAAAATTCCCAAAAAATTCCCGATAAAAATCCTCATAAATCCTGATATAAATTGCCCCAAAATCGCCATTTTTGGCCCCATTCTCACCCCCTGAGAGCAGCCAGGGCCGAGTCCTCGTTGTGCGTGGCCACCATGAGCGAGAGGCGCGAGCGCGGCCGGGCCAGGGCGGACAGGAGGAGCCTCAGGCAGCGATGGTAGCTGGGAGAGACCCAAAATCCCAGGAAATGAACCCAAAATTCAGCAAAAATCAGCACAAAATTCACCCAGAAATCAGCACAAAATTCAGCCAAAAATCCCCCCAAAATTCGCCCAGAAATCGGCAGAAAATCACAGGAAATGAACCCAAAATCAGCCCAAAATCAGCACAAAATTCACCCAGAAATCAGCAGAAAAACCACCCAGAAATCAGCACAAAAATCACAGGAAATGAACCCAAAATTTACCCAGAAATCGGCACAAAATCACAGGAAATCAACCCAAAATTCAGCCAAAAATCCCCCCAAAATTCACCCAGAAATAAGCAGAAAATCACAGGAAATGAACCCAAAATTCACCCCAGAATTCACCCAGAAATCAGCAGAAAATCACAGGAAATGAACCCAAAATTTACCCAGAAATCAGCACAAAATCACAGGAAATGAACCCAAAATTCAGCCAGAAATCAGCACACAAAATCACAGGAAATGAACCCAAAATCACCCAGAAATCAGCAGAAAAACCACAGGAAATGAGCGCAAAAATCACAGGAAATGAACCCAAAAATCACCAAAAAATTCACCCAGAAATCAGCAGAAAATCACAGGAAATGAACCCAAAATTCACCCAGAAATCAGCACAAAAATCACCCAGAAATCAGCACAAAATCCCAGGAAATGAACCCAAAATTCACCCAGAAATCGACCCAAAAATTCAGCCAGAAATCAGCACACAAAATCACAGGAAATGAACCCAAAATTCAGCAGAAGTTCACCCCAAAATTCACCCAGAAATCAGCACAAAATTCAGCCAAAAATCCCCCCAAAATTCGCCCAGAAATCAGCAGAAAAATCACCCAGAAATCAGCACAAAATCACTGGAAATGAACCCAAAATTCACCACAAAATCACAGGAAATGAACCCAAAATTCAGCCAGAAATAACCAAAAAATTTAGCCAGAAATCAGCACAAAATCCCAGGAAATGAACCCAAAATTCAGCAGAAATTCACCCCAAAATTCACCCAGAAATCAGCACAAAATCACAGGAAATTGACCCAAAATTCACTCAGATATCAGCACAAAATCACAGGAAATGAACCCAAAATCACCCAGAAATCAGCAGAAAAACCACAGGAAATGAGCGCAAAAATCACAGGAAATGAACCCAAAAATCACCAAAAAATTCACCCAGAAATCAGCAGAAAATCACAGGAAATGAACCCAAAATTTACCCAGAAATCGGCACAAAATCTCAGGAAATCAACCCAAAATTTACCCAGAAATCCCCCCAAAATTCACCCAGAAATAAGCAGAAAATCACAGGAAATGAACCCAAAAATCCCCCCAAAATTCGCCCAGAAATCAGCACAAAATCACAGGAAATGAACCCAAAAATCAGCAAAAATCAGCACAAAATTCAGCCAAAAATTCCCCCCAAAATTCGCCCAGAAATCAGCAGAAAAATCACCCAGAAATCAGCACAAAATCACAGGAAATGAACCCAAAATTCAGCCCAAAATCAGCACAAAAATTCACCCAGAAATCAGCACAAAAATCACAGGAAATGAACCCAAAATTCAGCCAAAAATCCCCCCAAAATTCAGCCCAAAATCAGCACAAAATTCACCCAGAAATCAGCAGAAAATTCACCCAGAAATCGGCAGGAAATCACAGGAAATGAACCCAAAATTCACCCAGAAATCAGCACAAAATCACAGGAAATTAGCGCAAAAATCACCAAAAAATTCACCCAGAAATCGGCACAAAATCACAGGAAATGAACCCAAAATTCAGCCAGAAATTCACCAAAAAATTCACCCAGAAATCGGCAAAAATCACAGGAAATGAACCCAAAATTCCGCCAAAAATCGGCACGAAATGAACCCAAAAATCAGCACAAAAATCACAGGAAATGAACCCAAAATTCAGCAGAAATTCACCCCAAAATTCACCCAGAAATCAGCAGAAAAACCACCCAGAAATGAGCGCAAAATCACAGGAAATGAACCCAAAATTCACCACAAAATCACAGGAAATGAACCCAAAAATCACCATAAATTCACCCAGAAATCGGCACAAAATCACAGGAAATGAACCCAAAATTAACGCAAAATTAACAAAAATTTAACCCCAAATTAACCCCAAATTAACCTGAAATTAATGCAAAGCATCACCCAAAATTAACGCAAAATTAACCCAAAATTAACCCCAAATTAACCCCAAATTGATGTAAAAACATCACCCCAAATTAACCCCAAATGAACCCCAAATTAACCCCAAATTCACCCCAAATTCCCCCCGAGGGGCCGCCCCTCCCCCACCTGGCCGAGGTCTCCTCAGGTGTGTCCCAGGTGGGGGAGGGGCAGCCCCGGGCCCGGGCCCGCCCCTGCTCCTGGGCCAGGTAAGCCCCGCGCACCAACTTCACCCCGCAGCTGAGGCCGGCCCCGCCCACCTGGGCCAGGTGAGCGCCCAGGGCGGCCTCGGTGTCCTGGGGAGGGGACAGGGAGGGGACAGGTGAGCTCAGGTGGGACCCAGATGTGCCCAGGTGTGACCCAGGTACCCCAAAATGTGCCCAGGTGTGACTAAAGTACCCCCCAGGTGTGGCCAGGTGTGTCCAGGGCGGCCTCGGTGTCCTGGGGAGGGGACAGGGAGGGGACAGGTGAGCTCAGGTGGGACCCAGATGTGCCCAGGTACCCCCCAGGTGTGACCCAGGTACCCCAAAATGTGCCCAGGTGTGTCCCCAGGTGTGCCCAGGTGTGACTAAAGTACCCCCAGGTGTGCCCAGGTGTGCCCAGGTGAGCACCCAGGGCAGCCTCGGTGTCCTGGGGAGGGGACAGGGGGGGACAGGTGAGCTCAGGTGTGACCCAGGTGTGCCCAGGTACCCCCCAGGTGTGCCCAGGTGTGCCCAGGTGAGCGCCCAGGGCAGCCTCGGTGTCCTGGGGAGGGGACGGGGAGGGGACAGGTGAGCCCAGGTGGGACCCAGATGTGCCCAGGTGTGACCCAGGTACCCCAAAATGTGCCCAGGTGTGTCCCCAGGTGTGCCCAGGTGTGACTAAAGTACCCCCAGGTGTGCCCAGGTGTGCCCAGGTGAGCGCCCAGGGCGGCCTTGGTGTCTTGGGGAGGGGACAGGGGGGGACAGGTGAGCCCAGGTGGGACTAAAATACCCCCAGGTGTGACCCAGGTGTGCCCAGGTACCCCAAATGTGCCCAGGTGTGCCCAGGTGTGTTCAGGTACCCCAAAATGTGCCCAGGTGTGCCCAGGTGAGCACCCAGGGCAGCCTCGGTGTCCTGGGGAGGGGACAGGGGGGGACAGGTGTGCCCAGGTGTGACCCAGGTGTGCCCAGGTGTGACTAAAGTACCCCCAGGTGTGCCCAGGTGCGCCCAAGTACCCCCCAGGTGGGACCCAGGTACCCCAAAATTTGCCCAGGTACCCCTCAGGTGTGTCCAGGTGTGCCCAGGTACCCCAAATGTGCCCAGGTGTGACTCAGGTGCCCCCAGGTGTACCCCAGGTGAGCACCCCCATGTGCCCAGGTACCCCAAAATGAGGCTCAGGTGCTCCCCCAGCTGCCCCCAGGCGTGCCCAGATGCCCCCAGGTACCCCCAGGTATGCCCAGGTGGGACTAAAATACCCCCAGGTGTGCCCAGGTGTGCCCCAGGTGTACCCCAGGTACCCCCCAAGTGTGCCCAGGTGAGTCTCAGGTGTGCCCAGGTGTGACCCAGGCACCCCAAAATGTGGCTCGGGTGTGACTCAGGTGCCCCCAGGTGTACCCCGGGTGAGCCCAGGTGAGCACCCACATGTGCCCAGGTACCCCAAAATGAGGCTCAGGTACCCCCCCAGCTGCCCCAGGCGTGCCCAGGTGGGACTAAAATACCCCCAGGTGTGCCCAGGTGTGCCCCAGGTGTACCCCAGGTGTGCCCAGGTACCCCCCAAGTGTGCCCAGGTGTGCCCCAGGCACCCCAAAATGTGGCTCGGGTGTGACTCAGCTGCCCTCAGGTGTGCCCAGGTACCCCCAGGTGTGTCCAGGTGAGTCTCAAGTGTGCCCAGGTGTGCCCCAGGTGTGCCCAGATGTGCCACTCACCCTCAGGTAGGCCTGCCAGGTGTGCCAGACGCGGGCTCGGGGCCCCTCCCGGTTGTGCCTCCACATCAGCCCCCAGGTGAGGCAGGTGAGGGCGGGGTTCAGGTGAGACATCTCAGCATCAACCAACACCTGAACGTCACGGGACACCGCGGCCTGGGGGGGACAGGTGTGCCCAGGTGTGCCCAGGTGTGCCCCAGGTGTGCCCAGGTACCCCAAAATGAGGCTCAGGAACTCCCCAGGTGTGCCCAGGTGTCCCAAAATGAGGCTCAGGAACCCCCCAGGTGTGCCCAGGTGTGGTTCAGGTAACCTCAGGTGGGCCTCAGATGTTCTTAGGTCTGCCCCAGGTGTGCCCAGGTACCCCAAAATGAGGCTCAGGAACTCCCCAGGTGTCCCCAGGTGTGCCCAGGTACCCCAAAATGAGGCTAAGGAACCCCCCAGGTGTGTCCCAGGTGAGTTCAGGTGTGTCTCAGGTGTCCCCAGGTGTGTCCCAGGTACCCCCAGGTGTGCCCAGGTGTCCTTGTCCCACTTTTCCCACCATTTCCAGGTGTCCCCAGGTGTGCCCAGGTGTGCCCCAGGTGTACCCAGGTGTCCCAAAATGAGGCTCAGGAACCCCCCAGGTGTGCCCAGGTGTGGTTCAGGTAACCTCAGGTGGGCCTCAGATGTTCTTAGGTCTGCCCCAGGTGTGCCCAGGTGTGCCCCAGGTGTCCCAAAATGAGGCTCAGGAACTCCCCAGGTGTGCCCAGGTGTCCCAAAATGAGGTTCAGGAACCCCCCAGGTGTGCCCAGGTAACCTCAGGTGGGTCTCAGATGTTCTCAGGTCTGCCCCAGGTGTCCCCTGGAGAGTTCAGGTGTGCCCAGGTGTGTCCCAGGTACCCCCAGATGAGTTCAGGTGTGCCCCAGGTGTCCTTGTCCCACTTTTCCCACCATTTCCAGGTGTCCCAGGTGTCCCCAAGTGTGTCCCCAAGTGTGTCCCAGGTGTCCCCAGGTGTCCTTGTCCCACTTTTCCCGCCATTTCCAGGTGTCCCCAGGTGTCCCTGACCCGCCCTTGCCCACCTGGCCGAGCTCAGGTCACTCCCCTGAGCCCCTCCCCCCTCCCCTGAGCCCCTCCCCCCTCCCCTGAGCCCCTCCCACCTCCCCTGAGCCCCGCCCCCCTCTCCATAGCCCCTCCCCCCTCACCTGTGCCACCCTCTCCAGTCTCCTCAGGCCCCTCCCCAGGTGCTCGTTCTCGGCCGGGCTGAGCCAGGTGAGCTCCGGCAGCTGCTGGGAGGGGGCGTGACCCAGAAAAAGGGGCGTGTTCAATGCAAAAGAGGCGTGGTTCCGGTAAAAGGGGGCGTGGTTTGAATAAAAAGGGGCGTGGTCAATAGCGGAGGGGTTACCTGGCCGCCCAACATGGCCGCCACCTCTTCTGGGTTAAGCCCCGCCCCTTCTGGCTCGGCCAATCGGAGCGAGATTTTCTCCTGGGGGGGGGGGGCGTGGTCAGAGGGGGGGGCTCAGCTGAGGGGCCTCAGTGCCCCACAGAGGCCTCAGTGCCCCACAGAGGCCTCAGTGCCCCATAGATCCCTCAGTGCCCCATAGAGGCCTCAATGCGCCATAGAGGCCTCAGTGCCCCATAGATCCCAATCCTGCCCCATAGAGGCCTCAGTGCCCCATAGAGGCCTCAGTGCCCCATAGAGGCCTCAGTGCCCCATAGATCCCAATCCTGCCCTATAGAGGCCTCAGTGCTCCATAGAGGCCTCAATGCCCTACAGAGGCCTCAGTGCCCCATAGAGGCCTCAGTGCCCCATAGAGGCCTCAATGCCCCATAGATCCCAATCCTCTCCCATAGAGGCCTCAGTGCCCCATAGATCCCAATCCTGCCCCAAAGATCCCCCCTGCCCCATTGACCCCACACATCCCCCTGCCCCATAGACTCCACAGATCCCCACCCCACAGATCCTGCCCCACAGACCCTGCCCCATAGATCCCACCCCACAGATCCCCCATAGACCCCACAAATGCCCCCACAGACCCCACAGACCCCACCCCACAGATCCCCCCTGCCCCACAGCTCCCCCGTGCCCCACTCACGCAGAGCCGCTGGCTCAGCAGCGCCGTCACCTTGAGCTGCATGGCGGGCTCGGGGCCCGAGGCGGCCGCCAGCCCCACACACTGCAGGGCTGCCCCACAGTTCTGCTCAAACCAGGCCTCGCTGCCCCACACGGGACCCCAAAAACATCAGTGACCCCTAAAGGGACCCTAAAAGCCCATCAGTGACCCCAAAACCCCATCAGTGACCCCAGAACTGCCCCATAAGTAACCCCAAAGTGACCGTAAAACCCCATCAGTGACCCCAAAACTGACCCATAAGTGACCCCATACCCTATAAGTGACTCACAAGTGACTCCAGACCCACAAGAATCCCATAAGTGACCCCAGGACTCCATAAATGGCCCACAAGTGACCCTAAAACTCCATTAGTGACCCACAAGTGACCCCCAAAACCCCTTAGTGACACACAAGTGACCCATAAGTGACCCTAAAACCCCATTAGTAACACCAGAACTGATCCATAAGTGACCCCCACACCCCATAAGTGACCCACAGGTGACCCCAGGACACCATTAGTAACCCTAAAACCCTGTTAAGTGACCCTAAAACCCCATAAACGACGCTAAAACCCCACAAGTGACCCCAACTCACCCCTCTCCATCAGGTCCCTCACCCTCGATGGGCAGGGCCAGCAATGGCCGCAGGCCACGAGCCCGGAGCCGCTGGCCCAGCTCCTGCACGGCCGCCGGGCTCCGGCCGACCGCAAACTGTCCCCAAAGGGACACGGAGAGAAGGGCCCGCCATAGACGGGCACCCAGAACCCGGCGGGACGCCCGCAGGAACTGTGGGGAATGGAGGGAGGTTGGGGTGGGATGGGGAGAAAATGGAGGGGGAGCGTGAGGGGAGAAAATGGAGGGCGAGCGTGAGGGGAGGGAAAGGGCGGGAAAGTGTGAGGGGAAGGAAATGGAGGGAGAACGTGAGAGGAGAAAAGGGCAAGAAAGTGTGAGGGGAGAAAATGGCCACGGAGAGTGAGGGGGAAAATGAAGGGAAAATGTGAGGGGAGGAAATGGTGGGGGAGTGTGAGGGGAGGGAAAGGGTGGGAAAGTGTGAAGGGAGAAAATGGAGGGAAACTGTGAAGGGAGAAAAGGGCAAGAAAGTGTGAGGGGAGAAAATGGAGGGTGAGCGTGAGGGGAGGGAAAGGGCGGGAAAGTGTGAGGGGAGAAAATGGAGGACGGGTGTGAGGGGGAAATGGTGGGGGAGTGTGAGGGGAGAAAATGGAGGACAGGTGTGAGGGGGAAATGGTGGGAGAGTGTGAGGGGAGAAAAGGGCAGAAAAGTGTGAGGGGAGGAAATGGAGGGGGAGCATGAGGGGAGAAAATGGAGGGCGAGCGTGAGGGGAGGGAAAGGGCGGGAAAGTGTGAGGGGAGAAAATGGAGGACGGGTGTGAGGGGGAAATGGTGGGAGAGTGTGAGGGGAGAAAAGGGCGGGAAAGTGTGAGGGGAGAAAATGGAGGACAGGTGTGAGGGGGAAAATGAAGGGAAAATGTGAGGGGAGAAAAGGGCAGAAAAGTGTGAGGGAGGAAATGGAGGGGGAGCATGAGGGGAGAAAATGGAGGGCGAGCGTGAGGGGAGGGAAAGGGTGGGAAAGTGTGAGGGGAGAAAATGGAGGACGGGTGTGAGGGGAGAAAATGGAGGGCGAGCGTGAGGGGAGGGAAAGGGTGGGAAAGTGTGAGGGGAGAAAATGGAGGACGGGTGTGAGGGGAGAAAATGGAGGGCGAGCGTGAGGGGAGGGAAAGGGTAGGAAAATGTGAGCGGGGAAATGGAGGGGGAGTGTGAGGGAAGAAAATGGAGGGCGAGTGTGAGGGGATGAAATGAAGCGAGAGTGTGAGGGGAGAAAGGGTGGGAAAGAGTGAGGGGAGAAAATGGTGGGAGAATATGAGAGGAGGAAATGGAGGGGGAGTGTGAGGGGAGAAAATGGAGGGGGGGAGTGTGAGGGAAAAGTGTGAGGGGAGGAAATGGCGGGAAAACGTGAGGGAAGAAAATGATGGGAAACAGTGAGGGGACGGGGAAGAAAGAAAGCCCTGAAGGGACAAAAAGGCCTGATCCCTGAGGGAAGAAAATGAGGGGAGCCATGAGGGAACAGGACAAAAGGGATTCCCTGCTTTCCCCTCACAACTGCTCCTGAAGGACATAGCCCAGGACCCGCCATGACTGTCAGGAGCAGGGGTGAATTTTGGGGTTCACTTATGGGGTTTGGGAGCAGGTTATGGGGCAGAGACTAGGGATGGGTGGATATTTAGGAGTCACTTATGGGGCTGGGAAAGGGTTGGGGGGTAATTTGTGGAATTTGGGGGGCTCCTATGGGGCAAGGGAGGGATTTGGAGGTCACTTCTGGGGCAGTTCGTGAGGGCAGAAAATGGAGGGAAGCCCTGAAGGTGCCTCTGTGTGGTTATGGGGGAGGGTCTCTATGGGTCAGGGGTCTCTCTATGGGTCAGGGGTCTCTAATTGGGGTAGGGGGGGGTCCCCATTTTTGGGGAGGGGGTCTCACCACCTCGGGGTCCTGCTGCAGCCGGGGGTGGGAGCAGAGGGCGAACACCAGCAGGCCCCGGAGCAGCTCCCACCATCCCAGGACCGCCAGGGCCCGGCCCTCCCTCACCATCACTTCCACCTGCAGCTGCAATGGCGACCCCTCCCCACCTTCTGAGCCCTCCTGCCCCATAGATCCCCCCATAGACCCCTCCTTCCCCACGGATTTACTCCCAGACTTCTCCTGCCCCATAGATCTTCTCTGCTCCATGGATCTCCACAGGGATCCTCTCCAACCTTTGGTCCCTCCCTGCCCCATAGATCGACCCCCAGAGTGCCCCTGCCCCATAGATCCCCCCAAAAAATCTGCCCAAAGACCTCCCCTGCCCCATAGATCCCCCCATAAATCCCCCCATGAACCTCCTCTGCCCCACAGATTCCGCCATAAATCCCCCCAAGGACCTCCCCTGCCCCATAGATCTCCACAGGGCCCCCCCCTGCCCCACAGATCTCCGCAAGGACCCCCCCTGCCCCATGGCAGCACCAGGAGGAGCCTGAGGGAGGTGGGGGAGGGATGAATTTATCCCCCAGTCTCCCCCCGAGTCACTCATTAACGGGGTTAATTAGTGAGGGATTAATAAGGGGCAAAGCCGTGCCTCCCCCAGCCTTGTCACTCATTAACGAGGGTTTTTTTAATGAGTAATTAATGGCTGAATGATTTTTGGGGCACCGTTATGGGGCAGGGTGAATCCCCTTGTTGGTCATTAACCAGAGCTGATTAATTAATTAAAAATTTTAAGTAATTAATTAATGTTTTCGCTTTTCAATTAATTCATCAAAATGGGGAGTTGTGGGGCAGGTTATGGGGCAGGGGACACCCCCTTGCTGCTCATTAATAAATTGTAAATTACTAAGTAATAATTGAATTAATTCACAATTTTATCAGTCCATTAATAAATTTTAATAAAATGGGGCAGAACAATGGGGCAGAATCTCTGGGGAAAGTTACAGGGCAGGGGACATCATTAATTAATGAGGGATAATGATGTATTTAAGAATTTTAAGTCATTATTTTATTAAAATTAAAGAGTTGTGGGGCAGAATCAGTGGGTCAACACTGAGGGGACAAAATGGAGGAAGCCGTAAGGGGAGAAAATGGTGCAAAACTGTGAGGGGGCTGGGAGAAGGGAAGCCACAAAAGGAGAAAATGGCAGAAAAGTGTGAGGGGAGAAAATGGTGGGAAACCGTGAGAGGAGAAAATGGAGATAAAGTGTGAGGGGAGAGGGAGAAGGGAAGCCATGAGGGGAGAAAATGGAGGGAAGCCGTGAGGGGACAAAATGGTGGAAAGCTGAGGGGAGAAAATGGAGGGAAGGTGTAAGGGGGACAAAATGGAGGGAAGCTGTGAGGGGAGGGAGTGGTAAGGCAGCCATGAGAGGAAAAAGTGAAGGGAGGCCATGAGGGTCCAAAATAGAAAATTGTGAGGGGGACAGGGAGAAAAGGAAAGTCATGAGGGGACAAAATGGTGGGAAATTGTGATAGAAAAAAACGGAGATAAAGTGTGAGGGGGAGAGGGAGAAGGGAAGCCATGAGGGGAGAAAATGGAGGGAAGCTGTGAAGGGACAAAAAAGATGGGGCCACCATGAGGGGAGAAAACAGTGGGAAATTGTGAGGGGAGAAAATGGTGGAAAACTGTGAGGGGACAAAATGGCAGGAAGCCATGAAGGGAGAAAATGGTGGGAAATTGTGAGAGAACAAGGAGAAGGGAAGCCATGAGAGGACAAAATGGAGGCAAGCTGTGAGGGGAAAAAGTGGAGGGAAGCTGTGAGGGGAAGGAGTGGTAAGGCAGCCATGAGAGGACAAAGTGAAGGGAAGCCATGAGGGACAAAATGGCAGGAAATTGTGAGGGGACAGGGAGAAAGGAAGTCATGAGGGGACAAAATGGTGGGAGCCATGAGGGAATGAGAAGGGAAGCCGTGAGGGGAGAAAATGGCAGGAAAGTGTGAGGGGAGAAAATGGTGGGAAACCGTGAGAGGAGAAAATGAGATAAAGTGTGAGGGGAGAGGGAGAAGGGAAGCCATGAGGGGAGGAAATGGAGGGAAGCCGTGAGGGGACAAAATCAAGGGAGCTGTGAGGGGACAAAATGGCGGAAAGCTGAGGGGAGAAAATGGAGGGAAGCTGTGAGGGGACAAAATGGAGGGAAGCTGTGAAGGGAGAAAATGGAGGGAAGGTGTGAGGGGAGAAAATGGAGGGAAGCTGTGAAGGGACAAAATGGAGGGAAGGTTTGAGGGGACAAAATCAAGGGAAGCTGTGAGAGGAGGGAGTGGTAAGGCAGCCATGAGAGGACAAAGTGAAGGGAAACCATGAGGGACAAAATGGCAGGGAAATTGTGAGGGGACGGAGAAAGGGAAGCCATGAAGGGAGAAAATGGCAGGAAATTGTGATAAGAAAAAATGAAGATAAAATGTGAGGGGAGAGCGAGAAGGGAAGCCATGAGGGGAGAAAATGGAGGGAAGCTGTGAAGGGACAAAAAGATGGGGCCGCCATGAGGGGAGAAAACAGTGGGAAATTGTGAGGGGAGAAAATGGTGGAAAACTGTGAGGGGAGAAAATGGCGGGAAGCCATGAAGGGACAAAATGGTGGGAAATTGTGAGAGAACAAGGAGAAGGGAAGCCATGAGAGGACAAAATGGAGGGAAGCCATGAGAGGACAAAATGGAGGGAAGCTGTGAGGCGACAAAGTGAAGGGAAGCCATGAGGGACAAAATAGAAAAGGGACAGGGAGAAAGGGAAGCCATGAGGGACAAAATAGAAAATTGTGAGGGGACAGGGAGAAAGGGAAGCCATGAGGGACAAAATAGAAACTTGTGAGGGAGAGGGAGATGGGAAGCCATGAGGAGAGAAAATGGAGGGAAGCTGTGAGGGAGAGGATGAAGAAGATGGGGAAAGGGTAGCCCTGAGGGAACAGATTGAAGAAAAACCACGAAAGAAATAATAAAAGGATGGGGTGAAGGGAAGCCATGATGGGAGAAAAAGGCGGGAAAACGTGAGGGGGAGAAAAAAGGCGGGAAAACGTGAGGGGAGAAAAAAGGCAGGAAAACGTGAGGGAGAAAAAAGGCAGGAAAATGTGAGGGAAGAAAAAGGCAGGAAAATGTGAGGGAAAAAAATGGAAAACGTGAGGGGAGAAAAGAGGCGGGAAAATGTGAGGGGAGAACAAAAGGCAGGAAAATGTGAGGGAAGAAAAAGGAAGGAAAATGTGAGGGGAAAAAAGGTGGGAAAAACGTGAGGGGGAGAAAAAAGGCAGGAAAATGTGAGGGAAGAAAAAAGGCAGGAAAACGTGAGGGGAGAAAAAGGCAGGAAAATGTGAGGGAAGAAAAAAGGCAGGAAAACGTGAGGGGAGAAAAAGGCAGGAAAATGTGAGGGAAAAAATGGAAAATGTGAGGGGAGAAAAGAGGCGGGAAAACGTGAGGGGAGAATAAAGGAAAACGTGACGGGGAGAAAAAAGGCAGGAAAAAGGGAAGAAAAAAAGCAGGAAAACGTGAGGGGAGAAGCTTTGGGGTCACTTATGGGGCAGAGCCAGGATCTATGGGGCAGCCCCTATTCCGCCCCTCACTACCACATTAATTAACACCTCATTAACACACTATTGAATAATTCATTTATTCATTTCCAGCAGCAGGACCCTCGATGGAACAGGTGAGGGATCTATGGGGCAGGTAAGGCCTCTGTGGGGCAGGTGATGAATCCATGGGGCAGGGGAGGGATCCATGGGGCAGGTGAGGGATTTATGGGGCAGGTAAGGCCTCTGTGGGGCAGGTGAGGGTTCCATGGGCAGGAAATGGATCCATGGGGCAGGTGAGGCTCAGTAGTTGCCGCGCTCCTGCCGGAAGCCGCCGCGCCTCAGGTACCCGTCGCCCTTGCGGTAGCCGCCATCTTTCTGATCTGGAGGGAGGGAGGGACGGGTGAGAGCGGGGCTGGGGGGGCTCAGGTGTGTCCCAGGTGTGTCCCAGGTGTCCCTCAGGTGTGCCCAAGTGTATCCCAGCCACTTCCATCTTCCCCAGGTGTGTAACTGAGTGCCCCAGGTGTGCCCCAGGTGTGGCCAGGTGTGCCCCAGGTGTATCCAGGTGCCCCCAAGTGTGCCCAGATGTGCCCCAGGTGCCCCCAGCTGTGCCCCAGGTGTGCCCAGATGTGCCCCAGGTGCATCCAGGTGTGTTCAGGTGTGCCCCAGGTGTATCCAGGTGTGCACAGATGTGCCCCAGATATACCCAGGTGTGCCCAGGTGTTCTCCAGGGGTATCCAGATGTGCCCCAGGTATATCCAGGTGTGCCCAGATGTGCCCAGGTGTATCCAGGTGTGTTCAGGTGTGCCCCAGGTGTCTCCAGCTGTGCCCCAGGTGTATCCAGGTGTGTTCAGGTGTGCCCCAGATATATCCAGGTGTGCCCAGATGTACCCCAGGTGTGGCCAGGTGTGCCCCAGGTGTCTCCAGATGTGCCCAGGTGTATCCAGGTGTGTTCAGGTGTACCCCAGGTGTATCCAGGTGTGCCCCAGGTGTATCCAGGTACATCCAAGTGTGTCCCAGTTGTATCCAGCTGTGCCCAGGTATATCCAGATGTGCCCCAGGTGTGCCCCAGGTATATCCAGCTGTGCCCCAGATGCCCCCAGGTACATCCAGGTGTGCCCCAGGTACATCCAGGGGTGCCCGGGTGTATCCAGGTGCATCCAGCTGTGCCCGGGGGGTATCCAGGTGTGCCCCCAGATGTATCCAGCTGTGCCCAGCTGTGCTCACCTCTGAAGTAGCCCCCGTAGGCTCCCTGCCTCTGGTCCAGCACCCGCTCGTTGTTCTCCACCAGGTTCCCCAACTTCTCGGCCAACTGCAGCGCCAGGTTCTGCGTGGCCGTGGGCTCCGTCCTGTGCATCATCACCGTGGCCGTGGGCTGGTCCAGGGAGGCCTAAAGGGGGCACAGGTGAGAGCCAGAAGGACAAAACTGCCCCAAAAGGACCAAAACTGCCCCAAAAGGCTCCAAATGGAGCAAAATTGACCCAAATGGCTCCAAAACTGCCCCAAAAGGCTCCAAAACCGCTCAAAATTGACCCAAATGGCTCCAAAACCACCCAAAACTGCCCCAAATGGAGCAAAATCGACCCCAAACTGCCCCAAAAGGCTCCTAAAACTGACCCAGAACTGCCCCAAAAGGCTCCAAAACTGCCCCAAAAGGCTCCAGAACTGCCCCAGAACTGCCCCAAATGGACCAAAATTGACCCAAATGGCTCCAAAATTGACCCAGAACTGCCCCAAATGGCTCCAAATGGAGCAAAATTGAGCCAGAACTGCCCCAAATTGACCCAAATGGCTCCAAAACTGCCCCAAATGGCTCCAAAATTGACCCAGAACCGCCCCAAATGGACCAAAATTAACCCAAAACTGCCCCAAAAGGCTCCTAAATGGACCAAAATTGACCCTAGAACTGCCCTAAAATTGACCCAGAACTGCCCCAAATGGAGCAAAACTGACCCTAGAACTGCCCCAAAAGGCTCCAAAACTGCCCCAAACGGACCAAAATGGACCCAAAACTGCCCCCAAAACCGCCCAAATGGACCAAAATTGACCCAGAACTGCCCAAAAGGCTCCAGAACTGCCCCAAAAGGCTCCAGAACTGCCCCTAATGGAGCAAAATTGACCCAGAACTGCCCCAAAACTGCCCAGAACTGCCCCAAAATCCCTGAAATTGGCCCCAAATCGCCCCCTCAGCTGAGGTCACACCTGTCCCCAGTGTCCCCAGGTGTGTCCCCAGATGTCCCCAGGTGTGTCCCCGGTGTGTCCCCAGGTGTCCCCAGCATCCCCAGGTATCCCAGGTGTCCCCAGGTGTCCCCAGCTGTCCCAGGTGTGTCCCCAGCATCCCCAGGTGTGTCCCCAGGTGTGTCCCCAGGTATCCCCAGGTGTGTCCCCAGTGTCCCCAGGTGTGTCCCCAGCTGTGTCCCCAGGTGTCCCCAATGTCCCCAGGTGTCCCCAATGTCCCCAGGTGTGTCCCCAGCTGTCCCAGGTGTCCCCCCAGTGTCCCCAGGTGTGTCCCCAGGTGTGTCCCCAGCTGTCCCAGGTGTGTCCCCAGGTGTCCCCAGCATCCCCAGGTATCCCAGGTATCCCCAGTGTCCCCAGGTGTCCCCAATGTCCCCCCAGCTGTCCCAGGTGTGTCCCCAGCTGTCCCCAGGTGTGTCCCTGATGTCCCCAGCTGTCCCCCCAGGTGTGTCCCCAGTGTCCCCCCAGCTGTCCCAGGTGTCCCCAATGTCCCCAGGTGTGTCCCCAGGTGTGTCCCCAGCATCCCCAGGTGTGTCCCCAGGTATCCCCAGGTGTGTCCCCAATGTCCCCAGGTGTCCCCAGGTGTGTCCCCAGGTGTCCCCAGGTGTCCCCACCATCAGCTCCTCGTTGATGATCATTTTGCTGATGATTCCGTGCACCGTGGGCAGGTCCAGCTCAAACATGGCCGCCAGCGTCTCCATGCTGGAAAATCCAGATTTCATCGCTTTTTAACTCAAAATTTGCTGCTTTTTCCCATCAAAATTCGCCATTTTTTAACCTCAAAAATTCGATTTTTTTACCCTTTTTAATTACAAAAATATCTACTTGAAAATCCTGGTTTTTTTACATCAAAATTCACCATTTTTAAACTAAAAATTCACCATTTTTAAACCTTAAAATTTACATATTCTTACCTCAAAATTCACCATTTTTAGACTAAAAATTTGCCATTTTTTAAACCTCAAAATTTACATATTCTTACTTCAAAATTCACCATTTTTAGACTAAAAATTTGCCATTTTTAAAACCTCAAAATTTACATATTCTTCCTTCAAAATTCACCATTTTAGACTAAAAAATTGCCATTTTTTAAACCTCAAAATTCACAATTTTTACCTCAAAAATTCACCACTTTTCACCTTAAAATTCTCAATTTTTCATCTCAAAACCTCACCATTTTTACCTTAAAATTCACAAATTTTTAGCTCAAAAGTTCTTAAATCTTTACCTCAAGCTTCACCGATTTTCCCCTCAAAATTCTTAATTTTCAACCTCAATATTTACAATTTCTTAGCTCAAAAATTCACAATTTTCCCTACTAATTCCACAACTTTTAGCCTAAAAATTCACCTTTTTTTACCTTAAATTCACCGTTTTTTGCCACAAAATCCGTATTTTTAACCTCAAAATTTCACATTTTTTTTTACCTCAAAAATTCACATTTTTTACCTCAAAATATCACAATTTTCCCCTCCAAAATTCAAAATTTTTTCCTTTAAAATCCCCCATTTTTTATCTCCAAAATTCCCATTTTTTTACCTCAAAAATTCACAATTTTTTCCTTTAAAATTCCCCATTTTTGGAGATATCAAAATCCCTCATTTTGGACCCAAAATCGCCGTTTTTTGCCCCAAAATCGGCCTCACCTGATGGAGTCGTAGACGCTGCTGTAGGTGAACAGGTACGTGCGGAGCGACTCCTCCTGGATCTTCCTGCGGAGGGACAGGGGGGTCACAGCTGGGAAACCCCAAAATGGCCCCAAAATGGCGGAAAATGGCCCCAAAATGGCGGAAAAGGGCCCCAAAATGGCTCCAAAATGGCTGAAAATGACCCCAAAGTGGCCCCAAAATGGTGGAAAATGGGCCCAAAATGGCAGAAAATGCCCCCAAAATGGGCCCAAAATGGCTGAAAACGGCCCCAAAATGGGCCCAAAGTGGCCACAAAGTGGCTCCAAAATGGCTGAAAGTGGCCCCAAAATGGCGGAAAATGGCCCCAAAATGGCAGAAAATGACCCCAAAATGGCACCAAAATGGCGGAAAATGGCCCCAAAATGGCCGAAAGTGGCCCCAAAGTGGCCTCAAAATGACCCAAATTTCCTCACCTGGACACACCTGGCCACACCCCCAATCCCTAAAATTACCCAAAATGCCCCAAAATGGCTGAAAATGGCCCCAAAATGGCCCCAAAGTGTCTGAAAATGGCCTCAAAATGGCCCCAAAATGGGCCCAAAGTGGCCCCAAAATGCCCCAAAATGACCTAATTTTCCTTACCTGGTCACGCCCCCAATCCCTAAAATTACCCAAAATGCCCCAAAATGGCCCCAAAATGGCCCCAAAATGGCTGAAAATGGCCCCAAAATGGCCCCAAAATGGCTGAAAGTGGCCCTAAAATGGCAGAAAATGGCACCAAAATGACCAAAATGGCTAAAGTGGCCCCAAAATGGCGGAAAATGGCTGAAAATGGCCCCAAAAATGGCCCCAAAATGGCGGAAATTGGCTCCAAAATGGGCCCAAAGTGGCCCCAAAATGGCGGAAAGTGGCAGAAAAGGGCCCCAAAATGGCTCAAAGTGGCCTCAAAATGACCCAAATTTCCTCACCTGGACACACCTGGCCACACCCCCAATCCCGAAAATTACCCAAAATGGTGGAAAATGCCCCAAAATGGCCTCAAAATGGCCCCAAAGTGGCCCCAAAATGGCTGAAAATGGCCCCAAAATGGCCCTAAAATGACCCGAAAATCCCACTCAAAATCGACAAAAATCACCCAAAACTGTCCAAATTTGCCAAAAATCACCCAAAATTGCCCAAAATCCTCAAATTTCATTTCCTGGCCACACCTGACCCTGAGTGAGCCTCACCTGGGCACCTCAAATCCGTCCCAAAATCCCCCTAAAAACCCTCAAAAATCCCACAAAAAATCGCCAAAAATCACCCAAAAATCACCAAAAAATCACCCAAAATTGTCGAAAATTGCCAAAAATGGCCCAAAATGGCCCAAACTTGTGGATTTTGGGCTCACCTGACGAGCATGGCCCGCACCTGGTCGGCCTCGGGGAACAGGTCCCAGACTTTGCCGTTCATTTTCTCGTTGACCACGAAGCGATGGCAGCGGCGCCAGTCCCCCGTCTTCATGGCCTTGGAGGCGGCCACCACGTGCTCCCGCATGGACTCGGGGGGACCTGGGCAGGGGAAAACATTTTGGGGTGAAAAACGGCGATTTTGGGCAAAAAATCCCCGAGTTTTGGGTAAAAAACCGGAGTTTTTAGGGTTAAAAATGGAATTTTTTATGGCTGGAAATGGGGATTTTGGAGGACACAAAATGGCGGCCACCACGTGCTCCCGCATGGACTCGGGGGGACCTGGGCAGGGGACGAAATTTTGGGGTGAAAAACGGCGATTTTGGGCAAAAAATCCCCGAGTTTTGGGGTTAAAAATGGAATTTTTGGGGTTGGAAATGGAATTTTTATGGTTGGAAATGGGGATTTTGTGGAGGGCACAAAATGGCGGCGCATCCGAGGTCTGGAAGGGACTCAGGGGAGCTGGGACAGGCGAGACACAGGTGGGGAAAAGTGAAGAAGTTTTGGGGTGAAAAACGCAAATTTTGGGCAAAAAATTGGAATTTTTGAAATGAGAAATGGAAATTTTGGGGTAAAAATGGAAATTTTGGAGGGCACAAAATGGCGGCGCCTCCAGGTGTTGAGAAGGTCCTGGACAGGTGAGACACAGGTGGGACATTTGGAAAAAAATTTTGGGGTGAAAATTGTAAAATTTGGGCAAAAAATGGCAATTTTGGGTAAAAAAAAGGTCAATTTTTGGGTAAAAAATGGAATTTTAATGGTTGGAAATGGGGATTTTGGAGGGCACAAAATGGCGGCAACTCCAAGGTCCTGAAGGGACTCAGGGGGAGGTGGTAAGGGGAAAACATTTTGGGGTGAAAAACGGCGATTTTGGGCAAAAATCCCCGAGTTTTGGGGTTAAACATGGAATTTTTGGGGTTGGAAATGGGGTTTGTGGAGGGCACAAAATGGCGGCGCCTCCGAGGTCCAGGATGGACTTGGCGGGATCCAGTTGGGTGACAAAATTTTGGGGTGAAAAACGGCGATTTTGGGCAAAAAAATCCCCAATTTTTAGGGTTAAAAATGGAATTTTTGGGGTTAAAAATGGAATTTTTGGGGTTGGAAATGGAATTTTTGGGGTTGGAAATGGAATTTTTGGAGGTCACAAAATGGCGGCGCCTCCAAGTGTTGAGAAGGTCCTGGACAGGTGAGACACAGGTGGGACACTTGGACAAAATTTTGGGGTGAAAATTGTAAATTTGGGCAAAAAAAATGGCAATTTTGGGTTAAAAAAGGTCAATTTTTGGGTAAAAAAATGGAGTTTTTGGGTTGGAAATGGGGATTTTGGAGGGCACAAAATGGCGGCAACTCCAAGGTCCTGAAGGGACTCAGGGGGACCTGGTGAGGGGACAACGTTTTGGGGTGAAAAACGGCGATTTTGGGCAAAAAATCCCCGAGTTTTGGGGTTAAAAATGGAGTTTTTGGGGTTAAAAATGGGGATTTTGTGGAGGGCACAAAATGGCGGCCACCTCCAAGGGGGTCACAAAATGGCGGCAGCTCCAAGGTCCAGGATGGACTCAGGGGAGGTGGTGAGGGGACAACATTTTGGGTGAAAAATGGTGATTTTGGGCAAAAAAATCCCCGAGTTTTGGGGTTAAAAATGGAATTTTTGGGGTTAAAAATGGAGTTTTTGGGGTTGGAAATGGAATTTTTGGAGGGCACAAAATGGCGGCACCTCCAAGGTTCTGAAGGGACTCAGGGGAGCTGGTCAGGGGACAAAAGTTTGGGGTGAAAAATGGCGATTTTGGGCAAAAATCCCCGAGTTTTGGGTAAAAAATGGAATTTTTGGGGTTAAAATTGGAATTTTTGGGGTTAAAAATGGAATTTTTGGGGTTGAAAATGGAATTTTTGGAGGTCACAAAATGGCGGCAGCTCCAAAGTCTGGAAGGGACTCAGGGGAGCTGGGACAGGTGAGACACAGGTGGGGAAAAGTGAAGAAATTTTGGGGTGAAAAACGCCAATTTTGGGTAAAAATTTCCGAATTTTGGTTAAAAAGCCAAGATTTTGGTCTGAGGAACATCAAGAAGATCCAGAAGCGCCATTTTAGGAGATAAAGGAACCAAACCAAGACTGACCCAAGGTAATTATGGACCTCAAGAAGCCAATTTTGGGTCCAAATTTCCACATTTTGGTTAAAAGTACCAATTATGGTCTGAGGAACCTCAGGAACATCTGAAATCTTGGTTTTTTGAGATAGAAGAATCAAACCAAGATTGAATTAAGATAATTATGGACCTCAGAACCCAATTTCAGACCTCAAAACCCAATTTCAGACCTCCAAACCCCCAAATTTTGGGTCGAAACCCCCAAATTTTGGGTCCTCCTCTCCATCCATGGTCTGAGGAACATCAAGAAGATCTCAAACCTCCATTTTAGGAGATAAAGGAACCAAACCAAGACTGAATTAAGCAAATTATGGACCTCAGAACCCAATTTCAGACCTCAAAACCCCCAAATTTTGGGTCGAAATCCCAAATTTCAACCCCAAAACCTCCAAATCTTGGGTCAAAAACTCCATTCATGATCTGAGGAACATCAAGAAGATCTAAAACCGCCATTTTAAGAGATAAAGGAACCAAACCAAGACCGACCTAAGATAATTATGGACCTCAGGAAGCCAATTTTGGGTCCAAATTTCCACATTTTGGTTAAAAGTACCAATTATGGTCTGAGGAACATCAAAAAGTTCTCAAATCTCCATTTTAGGAGATAGAAGAACCAAACCAAAACTGAATTAAGGTAATTATGGACCTCAAAACCCAATTTCAGACCTCCAAACCCAATTTGGACCTCAAAACCCCAAATTTCATCAGTATCACCATCCATGGTCTGAGGAACATCAGGAAGTTCTCAAACCTCCATTTTAGGAGATAGAAGAACCAAACCAAAACTGAATTAAGGTAATTATGGACCTCAGAACCCAATTTCGGACCTCAGAACCCAATTTCGGATCTCAAAACCCCCAAATTTTGGTTCTGAGGAACATCAAGAAGTTCTCAAATCTCCATTTTAGGAGATAGAAGAACCAAACCAAAACTGAATTAAGATAATTATGGACCTCAGAACCCAATTTCAGACCTCCAAACCCAATTTCAGACCTCAAAACCCCCAAATTTTGGTTCTGAGGAACATCAAGAAGTTCTCAAATCTCCATTTTAGGAGATAAAGGAACCAAACCAAGACCGACCTAGGTAATTATGGACCTCAGAACCCAATTTCGGACCTCAAAACCCCCAAATTTCATCAGTATCACCATCCATGGTCTGAGGAACATCAAGAAGTTCTCAAACCTCCATTTTAGGAGATAAAGGAACCAAACCAAGACTGACCTAAGGTAATTATGGACCTCAGAACCCCAAATCTCAACCCCAAACCCCCAAATTTTGGGTTGAAACCCCCAAATTTTGGGGTCAAAATTCCATCCATGGTCTGAGGAACATCAAGAAGATCTAAAACCACCATTTTAAGAGATAAAGGAACCAAACCAAGACCGAATTAGGATAATTATGGACCTCAGAACCCCAAATCTCAACCCCAAACCCTGGGTCCTCCTCTCCATCCATGGTCTGAGGAACATCAAGAAGATCTAAAACCGCCATTTTAAGAGATACAGCAACCAAACCAAGGCCGACCTAAGGTAATTATGGACCTCAGAACCCAATTTCGGACCTCCAAACCCAATTTCGGACCTCAAAACCCCCAAATTTTGGGTCAAAATCTTGAAATTTTGGGGGGTCAAAAACCCCATCCGTGGTCTGAGGAACATCAAGAAGTTCTCAAATCTCCATTTTAAGAGATAAAATAACCAAACCAAGACCGACCTAAGGTAATTATGGACCTCAAGAACCCAATTTTGGTCAAAAACCCCAAATTTTGGGTCGAAAACCCCATCCATGGTCTGAGGAACATCAAGAAGATCTAAAACCTCCATTTTAAGAGATAAAGGAACCAAACCAAGACTGAATTAAGGTAATTATGGACCTCAGAACCCAATTTTGGACCTCAGATCCCAATTTCGGACCTCAAAACCCCCAAATTTCAACACCAAGCCCCCAAATTTTGGGTCCTCCTCCCCATCCATGGTCTGAGAACATCAAGAAGTTCTCAAATCTCCATTTTAGGAGATAGAAGAACCAAACCAAAACTGAATTAAGGTAATTATGGACCTCAGAACCCAATTTCGGACCTCAGAACCCAATTTCAGACCTCAAAACCCCCAAATTTTGTTCTGAGGAACATTAAGAAGTTCTCAAACCTCCATTTTAGGAGATAGAAGAACCCAACCAAAACTTATTCAAGGTAATTATGGACCTCAGAACCCCAAATCTCAACCCCAAACCCCCAAATTTTGGGTCGAAACCCCAAATTTCAACCCCAACCCCCAAATCTTGGTCAAAAACTCCATTCATGATCTGAGGAACATCAAGAAGATCTAAAATCTCCATTTTAAGAGATAAAATAACCAAACCAAGACCGACCTAAGGTAATTATGGACCTCAGAACCCAATTTTGGACCTCAAAACCCCCAAATTTTGGTTCTGAGGAACATCAAAAAGTTCTCAAACCTCCATTTTAGGAGATAGAAGAACCAAACCAAAACTGAATTAAGATAATTATGGACCTCAAAACCCAATTTCAGACCTCCAAACCCAATTTCAGACCTCCAAACCCCCAAATTTTGGGTCAAAAACCCCAAATTTTGTGCCAAAACCCCAAATTTTGTGCCAAAACCCCCAAATTTCATCTCCTCCTCCTCCTACCCAGCAGCGGCTGCCTCTCTCCGACGCGCAGCTGGTGGTGGAACTGCTTGCTGATCATCCTCCTGCGGGCGTCGAACTCGTGCGCCGCCATGTAGGGGATCTCCAGCAGCATGGCGGCCACCAGGTAGACGCACTCGAGGAGCTCCAGGTTGACGTGCATGTGGAAGGGCACCTGGCGCCTCTTCTCCACCTTCTCCTGCTCCGCGTTCCTCTCCTGGAGGCTCCTGAGCAGGAGGCCCTGGCCCAGGAGCTCCTTGGCCCGGCCAGAGCTCTGGATGTCCAGGAGGGCGTTGTGGGCGTCCTTGATCAGGCCCTGGCGGAAGGCGCAGATGCCCAGCTGGACCATGGTGCGGTTGTAGAGGATCTGGGAAGGGAAATGGGGAGGTCAAGGGGGTTTTGGGGTGAGAAATGGGAGGTTTGGGTAAAAAAATTGAAAAATAAATTGGGTGGGAAATGGAAGTTTTGGAGGTCACAAATGGCGGCAGCTGCAGGTCCTGAAGGGACTCAGGGGGAGCTGGGACAGGTGAGACACAGGTGAGGACAGATGGGAATGAGTGACAAAATTTTGGGGCAAAAAATGCAAAATTTGGGTAAAAAAAAAGTCAATTTTTGGGGTGGGAAGTGGAATTTTTGGGGTTGAAAATGGAATTTTTTGGGTCGAAAATGGAATTTTTGGAGGTCACAAAATGGCGGCAGCTCCAGGTGTTGAGAAGGTCCTGGGACAGATGAGACACAGGTGGGACACAGGTGGAGACACCTGGGAATAAGAGACAAAATTTTGGGGCAAAAAATGTGAAATTTGGGTAAAAAAATGGAGGTTTTGGGGTTGAAAATGGAATTTTTGGAGGTC